CTGCTCCCTAGCTGTCTGTCTAGTGCCTCCTGCAGCACCTCCTCATGAGTCCTGAGATTAACGTGGGTTCCCAGCTAAGTCTCCCTCTCAGACTGTTTCTCCTGCACGTCCCAGCACAGAAGCAGATGTACAGCAATCACCCAGTAGCCAGAATATAATGGCCTCCCCTTTGTTGTGAGCCCTTCAACAGCTAGGCCCTTGTTCAAACTCCCCAGTCCACTAATCTTCCCTGTTCATCAAACTCCTTAGGGTGCCAAGTTTTTTGTTTTGTTTTTTGAGACAGGGTTTCTCTGTGTAACAGTCCTGGCTGCACTGTAACTTGCTCTGTAGACCAGGCTGGCCTTGAACTCAAGAGATCCACTTGCCTGTGCCTCCTGAATGCGGGATTAAAGGCATGTGCCACCACCACTGCCTGGCAGTTTTGTGTTTTAATTATTTTGTTGCTTGACAAATTTCATATACGTATATAATATACTCTGATTACTCTCCCTCCTGCCCCTATCACCACCACTATCGGTCCATTTCCCGACTTCTAGTTTTGTTTTGTGACCCTGTAGTTTAAGAAGGGCCACCTGTGTGAACACTGAACTAGGTGGGTCCACTGGAACCTGCTGGGATCAGGAGTGAAGGCAATGACGTCCCCGCCCCCTGAATATGAAATTAAGTTCTTCTCTTCCACACTCAAGGCTTTTCCGGCTTTAGGCTCGAGTTTCATCTACCCTACCCCAAGTTAGCCGGAAACTCTCCATTCTCCTTCCTCAGCCTCCCAGTGCAGGAATATGGTGTGTGCCATCGCATACGGTTCGACCTAGCCTTTTACCCAGACACTCCTTGCTTTCATTCCTGCTTGTGCTAAAGTGACAAAGCACTTTGCTGCCCACCTTCCAGGGCCACCCATTCCCACACAGGACGTCCATGTCCCTCTCTGGCCTTCCTTGAACATAGCTTATTATCCATATCCATACCTCCCCACTTTACTTATTTTCTTTTTTCCAGTTGAATGGCTTATTATCTTAACATGCAGCTTCTTTTCTCCGGGTGACTTCCTGGCTGTTTTGTTTGTGGTCTCTGCAGACTGGAAACCACCCATCTCCAGCTCTCCACATTTGCTTAGACAGGGACACTGTAGCTAGTCAACTCTTCCTGAAAAGTGGGTGACCCAGACTTACCTGTTTCACAATCCCAGAGACGACAGCTGTTGTCAGCTGAGCCAGTAAGGACATGCTTGGTGTCCCCTGAAGAAGGTGTTAAGAAACATGACTTGTGGCCGGGTGTTGGTGGTGCACGCCTTTAATCCCAGCACTGGGAGGCAGAGGCAGGCGGATCTCTGTGAGTTCGAGGCCAGCCTGGTCTACAGAGGGAGTTCCAGGACAGCCTCCAAAACAATACAGAGAAACCCTGTCTCAAAAAAACAAAACAAAAACATAAAAATAAAGAAAGAAATATGACTTGTGCTTAAGAAATGGTACAGTGGTGAAGAGCACTGACTGTTCTAGAGATCCCAGGATAGATTCCCAACCCCCATATGGTGGCTCACAATTCCAGTTCCAGGGAGTCAATGGCCTCTTCTGGCCTCTGGAGGGCACCAGACACGCATACATACTAGTCAAATCATTTTTAGACACAGGATAAAATAAAAATCATTAGTGTTGGAGAGACAGTTCAGCACTTGAAGCACGAGGTGTGCAATCAAGAGGACCTCAGACTGAATCCCCAGCATGCATAGGGTGTGCCCGCAAGCCCAGTGCTGAGAGGTAAAGACAGGAAGTTCAGTGACTGGATGGCCAAGACTAGCTATTCAGTGAATTCCAGAATCAGTGGTGAAAGGCTGTATCTGGTTTTTATCTCAAAAAGAGATTGGCAGTGGTGATATGTGTCCTTAATCCCAGCATTCAGGAGGCAAAAGCAGTCAGAATTCTGAGTTCAAGGCCAGCCTAGTCTACAGAGCAAGTTCCAGGACAGCCAGGGCTACATAGTGAGAAGCGGTAGGAGTGGGGGCACTGGAAAAATGGCTCAGTGGTTAAGAGCACTTGTACACTTGCTATTCTTCTAGAGGACCCAGGCTAGAGTCCCAGCACCTCCATGGTATCTAATATGCTGGCACCGCACAGATGGTCACAGACACACACACAGGAAAAACAATCATATAAATAAAACTAAAGATTCTCAAAAGAAAGGAGCTGGGCATTGGTGGTGTATGCCTTTAAGCCCAGTGCTTGGAGACAGAGACAGGTGATCTCTGTGAGTCTGAGGCCAGCCTGGTCTACAGAGCGTGTTCCATGACAGGCTCCAAAACTATAAGGGAACCCTATCTCGGGCTGGAGAGATGGCTCAGAGGTTAAGAGCACTGACTGTTCTTCCAGAGGTCTTGAGTTCAATTCCCAGCAAGCACATGGTGGCTCACAACCACCTTGAATGAGATCTGGTGCCCTTTGCTGGCATGCCGGAAGAAGATTGTATACATAATAAATGAAATATTAAAAAAAATGAAATATTAAAAAAAGAAGGAACCCTATCTCAAAAAAAAAAAAAAAAAAAGAAGAAAGGTTGAAAGGTTGAAGAATGCCCAAAGAAGACACCTGATGCTGACATCTGGCTTCCATAAGCACATGACCTGCACACACAGATTCATTACACACACAATGACTAAGTCCACCTGAAACCATGTTCCCTTGGAAGCCATCTAAAGCATCTCCCAATCCAGCCCTGAAGAGAATTCGTCATTTACCTCAGATGTTCCGACCTTCAATCCAGAACTTAAAACTTGTCCTGTTTCCCCCAACCAATGAGTTAGCTGGGAGTAGGGAGACTTACTCTCCAGAGCACCATAGCAGGGCAAACTCCCACCCTCCCAGTCAGCATCTCCAAGGCTGGCCGACCCACAGCAAAAAGGATACAGTCAGCATCCACACACCACACAGCTCCAGTATGGCCCATGTAGGTGCCCAGCCTCTCGCCATTCACGGAATACCACACATTGACAATCTGGAAGAGTGAAATGGCAGGAGGGGTCACTCCCCAGAAAAAGCAAGAGCTTATTCAGTCCTACAAACCCTCTGTAGACTCCAGCCAAGCCAAGTCTGTCTTCTGCTCATTTATTAGAGGAGGGTCCTCTCTTCCTAAAGGTAATCGGTATTGACACTAGTAGGCCTGCAACAGCACCCTTACTACCTACTTCTGTCTGGAACCATCTTTGGTGTCCTGTCCAATCGGGACAGATGGCAGCGAGGATATACGGACTCTTAGTGCTTCTTTGTCGCTTACTGTGATTTTAAATGTGCTTCTTCCCACTGAAATTTTAACTTTGTCTTTGTTGGTTTGTTTTTGTTTTTCAAGACAGGGTTTCTCTGTGTAGCCCTGGCTGTCCTGGAACTTGCTCTGTAAACCAGACTGACCTCGAATTCACAGAGATCCACCTGCCTCTGCTTCCCCAGTGCTAGGATTAAAAGAGTGTGCCACCACTGCCCAGCTAACTTTGCTATCTTTAAAAGGGCTGGAGAGCTGGCTCAGAGGTTAAAGAGCACTGGCTGCTCGTCCAGATGACGTGGGTTTGATTCCCAGCATCTAGATGACAGTCCACACCATCTGTAACTCCAGTACCAGGGATCTGATACCTTCTTCTGGCCTTCTCAGGCAGGAGGCATACACACCGCAGATTTACAATGCAGGCGAAACACCCATACACACAGTAAACAAACTCATTACATATAAATATACGTATTTTAAAGGGTAAGGACACGCTGTGTGCGGAGGCTGACACAGGAGGATGGGGAGGCACAGGCCAGCTCAGAAAGATACCTCATCCTTGCCAACAGCTTTCTTTAAAGGGCAGCTGTAAAGCTCCAATAAATTGTCTAAGAAACATAAAATGTGTCGGGCGTTGATGGCGCACGCCTTTAATCCCAGCACTCGGGAGGCAGAGGCAGGCGGATCTCTGTGAGTTCGAGACCAGCCTGGACTACCAAGGGAGTTCCAGGGCAGCCTCCAAAGCCACAGAGAAACCCTGTCTCGGGAAAAAAAAAAAAAAAAAACATAAAATGTAAGTGACTAACACACACCAGGTATAGTGAAAAACTATTTACAAGAATGACCTCATTTTGTTGAAGGAGGAACTTAAAGTTCCATGTTTCATTAAGAGGGAAAATTGTAATTTAGAAAGGCTACATGTCATGTAGGTGCAGGAGTTAGGACTCACATCAAACTCTGACTTCAGACTACCCAATGTTAGCCATCAGTTAACTGTCTCCATGTGCAACGCCTCAAAATGCAGTACCCAAAGACTCTGTGCCCCGAGTATCACCATGGGACTGAACAGACAAGCCTAGGAACAGCCTCACTAAGGTCCACGTCTTTTTCCTCCTTTTTGGTGCTAGGGATCCAAGCCAGGGCGAGGTGCCTGTTAAGTCTAGACTTCAACCCCAAGACCCCACGACACAGTCCTCCAGACTCTAGAGGTGGTTCGTTCCGGTTCTTCCCACCCTCGAGACATTAGAGCACATCCTCTCCCAGTCCCCCTACCACACAGTCTCTTATTTTTCTCCTCCCTCGGTACTCTTTCCTATCAACCATTAATTTATCTTAGGTCTCCCAGGCAGAATGCGGTCGCTCCATTACCCCGCCAGGTAAGGGTGGTTTTCTCTGCTTTTCAGAGGAATTCCCTTCAGGCCGCAAAGCTTGTTCACCCACTGTCTGGATACCGCAAACTCGCCCCTCCGGGTGCCCCGCCCCGCCCGCCCTCGGTCGCGCGGCCGCTCACTGGGTCTTTGGCCACGGTGAAGAGGAGGTCTCCTTCGCGGTTGTACTTGATTTGCGTGATGGACCGCTCATGGCCCTGCAACAGGATGGGCTTCTGTGGGGACAGAACGGGAGTGTCAGTGCCGGGAACCCCGTCCCATCCCGATTGGGACCCCCAAAACCACAGCACCGCATGCCTGGAACTCACCATCCCGGCGGTAACGCGAGCAGAGAGGCAATGTGAGTGGGGCCGGAAGAGGACTAGGGGCAACTTCCGGATGCTGGGACTCCGCCCCCTGGATCCCGGAAGTAGAAGGTCCTAGCGTTGCCATGGCGGCGTCTCTGGGTGGGTAACTGGCCCCGCCCCTCCGCGGGCGCCGACTATGGCTGGGGTCTCCCAGCTCACTTCACCCTGGACCCCGGGACTGCTGAGACGAACTCATCGCAGCGCGGAGAGCGCGGGAGGGATGGAGACGGCCAGCTGGGCCGGAGGAGGCCGGGATGGCCTGGGTGACTCTCTGCTCCTTTGCTTTCAGGGCAGGTCCTTGCGCTGATGCTGGTGGCCGCCCTGTGGGGTGGCACGCAGCCGCTGTTGAAGCGGGCCTCCGCAGGCCTGCAGCAAGTGCATGAGCAGACGTGGGCCCGGCAGCTGTTGCAGGAGATGAAGACTCTCTTCTTGAATACTGAGGTGCGTCTGTGGACTGCTGCTCCCTCGGAGGAGCCGCTGAGCCAGAGCCCCAGCCCGTCTCCTACTCATTAGAAGCTTCTGGAGGAGTCAGTTATTGTCTGTGAGCCTCGGCATTATCATTGGTAAAATGGAAACTATATGATCACCTAAGTGTAGGGCAGATGGAATAATTGAGGGAACAGGCGGTGGTGGCACACGCGCTTAATCCCAACACCCAGGAGGCAAAGATAGGCGATCTCTGTGAATTCGTGGCCAGCCTTCTACATAACAATTCCCAGACAACCAAGGCTACACAGAGACCCTGTCTCGAAAAACAAAACAAGGGGCTGGAAAGATGGCTCAGCGGTTAAGAGCACTGGCTGTTTTTCCAGAGGACCTGGGATCAATTCCCAGCACCCTCATGGAAAAGCACAACTGTCTAATTCCAGTTCCAGGGGATCTGACACCATCTTCTGGCCTGGAAGGTACTGTCCACACTTTGTGCACAAACAGTTATGCAGACAAAAAACACCCATACAATAAAGTAAATTAAATACAAAGCTCATAACAGTGGCGAAAGTACCGTTATGAAGTAAGGAATGAGATGGTTTCCTGGTTGGGGGGTCACCAGGACAGGAGGAACTGTATTAATGGTTGCAGTATTGGGAAGGCTGAGGTCAGGTAAGACTGTTCAGTGAGCAGGAAATTGCTGACAGATTTCTCCTCTTTCCAGTACCTGATGCCCTTTCTCCTCAACCAAAGTGGCTCCCTTGTCTACTACTTGACCTTGGCATCCACAGGTGGGTCTCTGGCTTGGACCTCCCCTGGGGTAGAGGCCATAGACAGGTGGGTCTCTGGCTTAGACCTCCCCTGGGGTGGAGGCCATATTTTGCCAACCTTGCACCTGTCAGTGAGGGAGAATACCTGTTTTGGGTCCTGCTTTGGGTCACAGGGCCAGTAAGGTGATTATGAGTGTGTGGCCAGATACTAGGGCTGGTCTGACAGTCTCGTACAGTAGCAGAAGAGGGAAGATTCGTTTTGCCATCAAAAGTGTTGACTTGTAGCCGGGTGTTGGTGGCGCATGCCTTTAATCCCAGCACTCGGGAGGCAGAGGCAGGCTCTCTATGAGTTCGAGGCCAGCCTGGTCTACAGAGTGAGTTCCAGGACAGCCTCCAAAGCCACAGAGAAACCTTGTCTCGAAAAACCAAAAAAAAAAAAAAAAAAAGTGTTGACTTGTTTTATTTATTTGGGGGGGGGTGTTTGTGTGTGTGATAATTTTTTCTTTTATTTAATAATTGTTTTTTATTGCATTTGTTCTCTCTCTTTGTGTGTGTGTGTGTGTGTGTGTGTGTGTGTGTGTGTGTGTGTGTGTGTGTGTGTAGAGGGCAAGTTTTGGGAAGAGCTCTCTCCTTTTTGCTTTGCAGATTCTCTCATGAACTAAGATCATCAATCTTGATGGCAAGTGGGCTTACCCACTGAGCATCTCCCTGGCCCTTCTGTATTGTTTTTGAGACAGCATCTCACTGTCTGACTCAGGCTGGTTTCCAAACCATGATCCTCATTTCTGTATGCCAGGTACTAGGATTATAGGTGTTCACCAAACACCCTTGTAAGTAGGCTCTCTGATGCCTCTGAGCCCACTATGGGACTTGCCTGACCAAGAGTAAGCCCCTTATTTGACTCCTGGTTTATGTAGTGGGCCTCAAAGCATTGTGAAGGTTGATTCAGCATGTGGGGAGAGTCTAGCAGAATGCCTGCCATACAGTAGAGGCTCAATAAATATAAATTTCCTTTCTATAAATGTTTGTTGACTGTTCCTAATACATCAGGTTACATATTTGTATTATGACCTTATGAAACAAACATGCTTTTGCTCATACATTATAACACTGGAATATTTACAGCATACTAATGCAAAGGGATTTAAAGCTGTACATTAATGGCTATGAGCTAGACACCGGGAGGCTGAGGCAGGAAGACAGTCACAAGGTCATGGACATCCTGGGATACTTTTTTTTTGTTTGTTTTTACGAGACAGGGTTTCTCTGTATTGTTTTGGAGGCTGTCGGTCCAGCCTGTCCTCGAACTCACAGAGGTCCGCCTTCCTCTGCCTCCCGAGTGCTGGGATTAAAGGCATGTGCCACCACCGCCCAGCCCTGGGATACTTTTGTTCTAGGCCAGCCTGTCTCAAAATACCAACAAGAAACTCTACCCCCCCCCAAGACTTGTGCTCTTGAACTTCTGCAAAAGCTTCCTTGCTGTGGTTTTGCCACCCTAGACTCAAGAATACAACTGTGCACATCCTACTTGGCCTCGTTTTTGGTTTAATCTTGTGAGTGTGGTGTATGGAGGAGTGCATGTCTATATATGTGGGAGCTAAGGCCGATGTTAGGTGTCTTTCTGAATTACCCTCCACTCTGGTGATTGAGTCAGGGTCTCTCACTGACCACAGCTCACTGGTTGTCCATCTCACTGAGCAGCTAGCTCCAGGGCTCCACCCATCTCTGCCACCCCTGCCTCCCAACACTTAGGTTACAGAACATTCCGCCTGGCCCAGTTTTTACACAGGTGCTGGGGTGGTACAAACTCAGATTTCCATGCTTTCATGGCAGGCACTTTACTGACAGGATCTCCCCAGGAACTCCCCTATATACCTTTTCATAGAGTCTGGCTATATGGCCCAGGCTGGTCTCAAACTTGAGATCTTCCTGCCTCAGCCTCCTGGTGGCTGGGGTTATAGTTTGTCCCCCAGTGTCTGCCTCATGATACTCAGTTTTATTTGCTTATTATTTTTGAGACAGAATCTTACTGTGTAGCTCCAGCTGTCCTGAAACTCCTGAGATAGACTTGGCTGGCCTTGAACACACAGACATCTGCCTCCTTCTGCCTCCAGAGTGATTTTTTTTTTTTTTTTTTTTTTTTTTTTTGGTTTTTCGAGACAGGGTTTCTCTGTATTGTTTTGGAGGCTGTCCTGGAACTCACTCTGTAGACCAGGCTGGCCTCGAACTCATAGAGATCCACCTGCCTCTGCCTCCGGAGTGCTGGGATTAAAGGTGTGCACCACCAACACCCGGCCAGAGTGATGTTTTTTAATTGTTGTTGTTTTTCTTTTAATTTGTTTTGTTTGTCTTTTTCAGGCAGGGTTTCTCTGTAGCCCTGGCTGTCCTGGTACTCAGAGGTCTTCCTGCCTCTGCCTCCCAAGTGCTGGGATTAAAGGCGTGCACCTGCCCATGGCCCCTAGAGTGATTAAATTACGTGTACTACCATGTCTGTTCAGTGCTACTTTTGTAAAGGTGATGATGATAAGAAGGGAAGAAGAATGAAGAAATTTTGCAAATAATCTGCCCCTGGAAAGGCATTCTTTGCATCTAGGGATTTTCCTTGCTTTGACTTCCCAGATCTGACTTTAGCTGTGCCTATCTGTAATTCTCTGGCCATCGTATTCACCCTGATTGTCGGCAAGGTCCTTGGAGAAGATGTTGGTGGAAAACGTAAGTCAAGCTTCTCCATGTCAGGAAATGGTGTAAGTGAGCATCTCCCCAGGCCGTCTTCCATGGGTGGGGGAGAGGCCTTCCCTTATCTTCCCTTTACTCTGCAGCAGCTCTCCTGCTTGCTTGTGACAGTTCCCTTCCCTTGGGCAATCTGGGGACAGCAGCTGGGGTGGGAATCAGGACCAGGCATCCTCAGTCTTCTTCCTTGGTCCTGCTAACCCCCAGCCCCTTGATGTTTTCTTTACCTCAGAAGCGGTGGCTGGCATGGTCCTCACCATCATAGGGATCACACTTTGCATCACAAGCTCAGTGACCAAGACCCAAGACCAGCTGTCATCCTCTTGAGTGGGCCAACCCCGACCTTCAGTTCGGCTGTGCTTAGCAGACCCGGCACTGAGGTGCAGGCAGTGACACACCAGCTTGCCTCTCTGAGCTTAGCTACCTCATCTCTTCGATCATGTCTACCTCAGGGTCACAATAATAATAGCATAGTTGCTCGGCAGTGGTGTCACACACCTTTAATCCCACCACTGGGAAGCAGAGATAGGCAGATCTCTCTGAGTTTGAGGCTAGCCTGGTCTACAGAGTGAGTTCTAGGACAGTTTCCAAAGCTACAGAAAGAAACACCACTCGAAAAACCAAAAAAGAAAAAAAAAAAAAAAAAAGGAATAGCATGGTCCAGAGTTCCAGGACAGCTAGGGTTACCCAGAGAAACCCTGTTTCAAAACACCAAAAAAAGAACATACCTGGGGAGGTTTGTAACCTTTGGTGGGTTCAGCTGTTGTTGAGATTTAGCATTAGAGTCAGGAGTGGTGGCACACACCTTTTAGTCCCAGCACTTGGGAGGCAGAGGCAGGGGGATCTCTTAAGTTCCAGGCCAGCCCGGTCTACATGTGGAGTTACAGCAGGCCAGCCTGGGCTATACAGAGAAACCTTGCATTCTTGCATTAGAGAGGGAGGGAGGGAGAGACAGAGACAGAGACAGAGAGAGAGAGAATGATTTCACTGGAGACTTTACGCCCACCCTCAGCAGCCATCTGCCTGCTGTCATCTCAGGCAACTGTCTCCTGGCCTCTATTACCCTGGCCTCTATTACCCTGGCCTGCTGGCCTGCTCTAGCCATGGGAAGGGCTAGCTGCGTCTCTGGACCAGGCTTGTGTCTGGAGGCCTCCACAGCCACATGGCAGTGCCTTGGCTGAGTCACAGTGGAATTCAGGGAGAGTGGCTACATCAGAATGGCAGATGGAAGAAGAATGAGCTGGCCCTGGGCAAAATGCTCAACCACCAGTCCCTCAAATCAGGAGACAGCTTCGCTGAGCAGCACCTAGCTCAGCAAACACCTGGCCAGTAGCAGCTTTCAATAAATCTGCAGCAAACAAAGCTCAGGAAATATTTTATTGTGGCAGGCCTGCTCCTAAGCCCAGCCTGCAGTGCCTTTCTCTGGCAGGGAATCACATAAGGAAGTTGACTTCTCAGAACTTCCTGGGTTTATGAAGAGGGAGACTCCGGCTAGGGAGGCCATACCTACTGTGAGCCCAATGAGGTGTGGCTTCTCAGGAACAGGCTGCTGGAAGTTGGGGATGGGGTAGCTTGGAGAGGCTGTCCTCAGTTTCTGTCTGGAGTTCCAGGCACTTAAGATGGTGGAGCTTGGGCTACATATGAGGATTCAGCTCCAGGCCAGTGTCTGGGGACAAGGCCTCTTCCACCGTCTCTGCTGCCCTCTAGTGGACAAGTGGAACAGGTAGCGCCACGTGGATGCCCAGTTTGCACCCACTGCCAGAGGCTCCCCAAATCAGGGAAGGAGAGTGGACATTAGAAAGCCCCGGGAATTAGGAAATAGGAAGGCAGGCCTTCAGACAAATCTGCTCTGTTGCCGGGAAGAAGTGCCTAGGCTTCAGCAGAGACCTGCCCGTCTCTGTGAGGTTTCCCAATCTGACAGGCTTACCCGATCCACAGGCTCCTCTATGCGGGTGTTCTCATCATCCTCCACTTCCTGAGCCCCAGCTGTCTCCTTCCTTGGGTAGGAAGCCCCATAAACGCCCTTAACTCCTAATATGGAGACATTGGCTGATGCCCAGGCTGAGGGGGTACTCAGCCTTCTGGGCCTCCACCTGCTATCCTGGTTCCTTCCCTCAGCCTTTAGCTCCACCTGTAATTCCACCTCCCTCTGAACCTCGTAGCTTTAAGCCTTGTCTTCTCTATGTACATTTTTTAAAAGATTTTTATTATGTATGCACTGTTCTGTCTGCATGTATGCCTGCAGGCCAGAAGAGGGCACCAGATCTCATTATGGACGGTTGTGAGCCACCATGTGACTGCTGGGAATTGAACTCAGGACCTTTGGAAGAGCAGCCAGTGCTCTTAACCCTTGAGCCATCTCTCCAGCTCCCCCTGTGTATTATTTATATAACTCCCTATGAAAGAAGCGAGTGACATGCAGATAGAAAATGGGCACAAAGCATGGCTGAATCGTTCTCCCCCTGTGACATCCCTCAGCATGTGTTGATGACCTGAGCTAGTGTGTGTCCCTGACATGCGTAAGCATAGGGGGAGCGATGCGAAGGCCCTGCCCCAGGGCCCTCACCTGATGGAACTGAGAGAGGAGAGAGCTTGCTTCCTGGCTGAATGGACTGCTGGGATCTGGCATAGAAAGTGGATGGCTCAGTTTGTCTTCGCTCCTTTGGAGAAGGCGGGGCTGGCTGAGCTGCCTGGGCCTTGTGACCCTGGGCCCACAGAAGGGACACTGAGTTAGAACCCACTTGTTAACTGTTATTTCCTCTCCTGCTCCCCAATGTGCCCTGCTGTCTGTGCAGGCTTGCAAGGGGCCGTGTGGCCAGATAGTCTGCCCCCTTCCCAGCTGCTTTTGTTCCTGTGGGGTTGTCTAGCCTGGAACAGTGCAGATGATGCTGACATACAAAGATGCCCAGTGAAGCCAGGCTGCTTTCCACTCTAGTGTGATGCTCATTGGCTCATCTGGGAGAATGGAGGCCTGGAATGGGACGGTGAAGTCCCCTTGGACCCTGATATGCCAAGTAGCCAGTTGAGCAGCCAACCTCGTGTGGAGGCATTCGGCATGGTATGTGCCACTCTCTGTCTGCTTGTGAGCTGCAGTTTCTACCCCAAGAAGGGGAAATCACTACTTCATAGACCCCTCAGCTAGTCGGTCCCCTCATCCCGTTGTCACCTACCCCCTGCCTCTGGGACGTACACTTCCGGCCCGGAGGATACCTGCAGTGAACGGAAGCTTGTGGTGGGCAGAGGAGAACACAGTCATAGCTCCCAGGTCAGAGGGCACTTCCTCTGCTGTGAGCTGTGGCCCTCCACCTCAAACAAACATACCAGCATCCCATGGGCAGAGAGGGGCTGGGCACCAGCAGCTCCATATAGGGGAGGGCCTTGAACTCTTCTTCTCCAACAGCCACATAGCAAGAGCCACTCACCAGAGCAGTCCCTGCTGGCAGTGGGAGCCCTTTGAGGGTGCAGAGTCTGGGAAGGGAGGCGATAAGGGCTGCTCTCTACCCAGCAGGCACTGCGGTAGGTCCAGCTTCTTTGGGGGCCCCTCTGACTTTGGTCCTACGGGAAATGTTAACCTGGGTTCTGGGCTGACTTGAAGGGCCGGGTTAAGGAGAGGACATGCCTCCTTTGACCTCTTCACCTTTAAGAGAGAGCAGACAGAACTGTGGGGCTCTTGGGGTGCCTGGCCTCCCTTGTCCCCGTACTCACTTGTGTACAGCGCCACTCTGTAACTTGGCCTTCTCAGTCAGCAGCTTCAGTACCATCTCCCAGTCCTGGATGGCAGTCTGGGACAGCTTCAGACTAAAGGGGGGACTTAGTAGGTCCCCATTCCTGAACACACTGAGACAAGAACGGCCAGGTAAGGGGGAGGGTCCCCAGGACGCCACGTGTGAAAGGGACACACCAACCAAGTGATCCAAGAACCACTTAAATGTTGGGATTTTAATTTTCCCAATTCTAATGGGGCTCCTGGAAAAACCCACTGCTATTTTCTTGGTCTCACTAAGGCACAAGACTATACCACGACTCCTGGATGCTCATACTCACTCACAGGATACAGCAGGGATTGTCTGCTGGTAGAAACTGTCCAAAGGCCCCATCACATGAGCGGCGAGACAAGAGTGGCTCCTGAAACCCAAGTCAGGCCTTTGAGTCAGGAGAAAGTCTAGAACTTTGGTTGGGACTGGCAGGTTCTAAGAACATGGGGTGAGGGGGCTGGAAAGATGGCTCAGAGGTTAAGAGCACTGACTGCTCTTCCAGGGGACCTGAGTTCATTTCCAAGCAACCACATGGTGGCTCACAACCATCTACAATTCAATCTGGTGTCCTCTTCTGGCATGTAGGCAGAACACTGTATATGTAATAAATGAATCTTTAAAAAAAAAAAAAGAACATGGGGTGAGCAGGCAGGAACCAAACTTGTGCAGAAGAGCTAGTGAGCAGGGGTGAGTCTAGATGTTCAGGAGAGCAAGTGAGCAGGGGTGAGTCTGGATTTTCAGGAGAGTGTGTGAGCAGGAGCGAGTCTGGATGTTCAGGAGAGTGTGTGAGCAGGGGTGAGTCTGGATGTTCAGGAGAGTGTGTGAGCAGGGGTGAGTATGATTGTGCAGGAGAGATTGAGTAGGGGCGTATCTGGTTGTGCTGGAGGTCCAGTGAGCAGGGGTGAGGAGTCTGCTCACACCTCTCTGAAAGGAGCACCTGTATTCTGAGTCATAACTCCTGTCCTTTGCCCACATTTCACCATTTACTCATTCCTCTGGCCTGGAGATTAGGGACTGAGTAGGGGCTGACCCAGGACAGCAGCAGGTTCTGGAGTGGGTGTGGCATGTCCCCTGGACCAGACAACTCCTCCTGCTTCTAGGACACTGTCCCACCCACCAAATTGGAGCAATCCTAAGAGGGAGGGGTAACGAAGGCTACAGTCTCCCCCGACTTACATATTGTTGGCTGCTCTTCCCACCTGGGTATCTCCTTTCAGGAGGCAAATAGCTGAAAGGACAGACAGGTACCAGGTCACCTCAGAGAAGTCTAAGCCCCAGGTAGCCAGTTTATGCCCATCAGCCAAGACTCCATCATTGCAAGGCTGGTCAGAGACCACTCTGCAGGTTGGCCTTTCCCCATGACCTGGCCTTAGGAGTAACACCATACTCAAGAGTCCATCAGGGGAAAGTGGTGGTGGCACACGCCTTTAATCCCAGCATTTGGGAGGCAGAGGCAGGCAGATCTCTGAGTTCAAGACCAGCCTGGTCTACAGTGTGATTCCAGGACAGCCAGGGCTACACAGAGAACTCAGGAGGCAGGCCTGAGTTGGCGTGGGGGGTAAAGTAATTCCTAAACTTGCAGAAATTGTTCCCACAGGCTGGCCCTGGTTGTGGTGGGCCTTAGTAACAAGAGTGCAATCTGAGTTACAGCTCAACCAATTTGATCATGCAGCTTAGGCAGGTTTCCCACCACCTACAGTACAGCCCCTCCCCAGGCTTCGGGAAAATAAGCCTGTTGTGGCGGTAAGGGCTAGATACACTATTGCTCCCACCCTCCCGAGGCACTTTGGCCAGCCCCGATCCACTCACTGAACCTTGTGGAATTGTTCCAAGCCAGCTGCCACATACTGCCCTCCGTTCTGTAAGTCAGCCAGGTCAGTGACGGGGTGGCCATCACAAAGTGTGTAGAGGGTGCGTACAGCCAATGGGGCTTGCACCACTGATGTCACCTCACAAAGGAAAGCCTCCATGGTGGGGTAGCGGCGTTGGGTCACCACCAGCTGGCGGCCTGGGAAGAAGGGGTCCCCATTTCGATATACCAGTACTCTCTTGGCTGCCATAGTACATCCTTACACACAGACGCAGAACAGTTGCCAAGCAACTAAGTCAGGGCTGGGAGCTGCGCCAACAGTGGAGTTCTGCCTTCTTATCCTGATGGCTGCAGGCACCTTGGACAGGAGCATTTTCCTGAACGCAGTGTTTTCAGTTCTGCCTTTGATGTGCTTCGAAAGAGCAGGGTAGATGCAATCCCTTTTTCGTTTGCATGCAGTTGGGATCAAGCTCTGGCCCTTGTTTGCTAGGCAAACACTGAACTGTCTTTGCAGCCCAGTCTGCTACATTACAAAAGGAAGACCCTGGGCTCAGTGGGAGGGAGACAGAGATTCCCATACAGACGTCCAGTCTTCTCCAGGCCTTGGGCTCCTTTGAACTGAGACCAAGGGTGATCAGCCTAGGGGCTGTTCCCAAGGATGATGGCTAACTGTGTTCTGGCCATGGTTGCTAGCTGGCATTAGGGACGATGCCCCATGTGAGTGGGAGGTAACCCAGATGAGACGGCCCAGAATCTGTCCTGGTCAGAGGCAGGATATACAAGCAGACAAGCTCATAACCCAAGAAAAACCTTTATTCTCCATAATCCTCCCATCTTACTTACCCAAGGGAAGGTGAAATTTGGATTAAGCCACAGGAGCAATGAATTCAAATTGCTCTTGTGCCAGCACAATCCTGCAGCTCAGCCTGATAGCTACCAATGGCCAGGAGCGAGGACAGGAGACAGAGGTGGCACCAGATCCCTTATGACCTTCTCATAGCATCCCCTTTAGGGACCTGTTCTCTCCTGCATCCCCTAGCCTGACGGTCCTGCTTCCCATGGGCTGCCCCTCCACTGGTCCTCTCTTTTTTTTTTTTTTTTTTTTTTTTTTTTTGGTTTTTTCAAGACAGGGTTTCTCTGTGGCTTTGGAGGCTGTCCTGGAACTCCCTCTGTAGACCAGGCTGGCCTCAAACTCACAGAGATCCGCCTGCCTCTGCCTCCCGAGTGCTGGGATTAAAGGCGTGCGCCACCAACACCCGGCCACCAGTCCTCTCTTGTAGAGGATGAGTTCTTCAGAGATCTTCATCTCCACAGCAGAGTCCTCTGGTTTTCCCATCCTTCCTGACTGAGCTCATTGGTAATTCCATGCCTGGGGTGCTGGCTCTTGGGTGGTTTAGTCCTTCTGAAATCCAGGCTACCTTGTTCCAGTCCTGATGACATCCCATGTGGCCTTCTGAGATTCTCAAATCGTATGGCCTGGCTCTGTGGCAGTCAGCCTCTTTATAGCTTGGCTTTCTGGAGTACTTGTCCTCAGTATTTGGATTCTCACAGAGTGTGGGCAGCTGTGTCATGGCCTTTCCAGAACAAGGACTCCTAGACTTGGGGTCCTTGGGAGTCTGACCCTCTAGGAGTTTCATCTGCTGTAGACAGGTTTCATTAAAGGCCTGTCCTCTGTGGTCTGGCCCTTTGGTGACCCTGTCCCCTCCAGCCTGGCTCTCTAATGCTGTAGCCAGATGCGGTGCAGCCTTCCTATAGCATAGTTCCCAGTCCTTAGCCCCATCCGTGTCTTTGCCTGTACTGCATAGACTTTCTGGGGATTTTTGGAGTTGCAATTTGCCCTTGCGGCAGGAATCCTCTGCATGGTGTGGCTCTCCTATGGTCCTGTCTCTGCAGAGCTGGTCCTTAGGGAGGCAGCTTGACTGCAACCAGCTATTCTCACAGGCCTGTCCCCTGTGGTCCAGGCACATGTTAGGCTTGTCTCTGGTCTGGCTTGCTTCTGGGGATCTCAGGGTTTGCTTGAGAATCAGATACTGTTAGGAAAGAACAGAGGAAGCCTGCTCAGGCATGGCAGGAGGCCTCTTCCCACCCTTGGCCTGCATAGAAAGGTTCTCACTGCCTACCTCCTTCCGACTGTTGATGGCCTGTTGTAGCCATAGCAGTTCCATGGCCAAATGGTTACGCTGGTCCTGGAGCTCATGTTGGTTCTGGGACAGTCCTAGATCTGTGACTTCATTGAAGGAAGAAGGAAAAGGAAAACGCCTTGAGGGGTAGACACTGGGAACTAATTTAGCCCTAGACCCTGGCAACCCTGCGTGCTCATCAGGCAAGGGGAAGGGGGGTGAGGAAGGGCTGCAACTCATCCTGCACATCCTTCCATGTCTCAGAGGGGAGGCTGAGGCCCAGAGAAGATCAGGGGCTTTCCCTCATCTAGGCAGAGGTACCTGCATTGTCCTCTGCAGACAGGGAGATCTCTCTGGTTTTCCCCCGGCTGGCTTTCCTGCCCTGCTCAGTCTGAAGCCAGGGGCTGTCATCTTGGCAAAGACTTTCTGCTTTTGCTGGGCTCCCTCCTGTTTTCTTCAGCACCATCTCCTCCAAGATGCCATCTTTTTCCGAGTCTTTACATGGGAAATGGCTGCACAGTTTTTGCTCTGGGTTTGGTACTTTCTCTGCTTTTCGGGAGTGATGAGATTTTGCCTGTGAAAAATCGGAGTGGTATGAGAATCAAAGGGTTACACCCCCCACAGATGTCTGGAAACCAGAGTCTAGTGGGCAAATAGGTAGGGCTGAGTATTGGGGTGTGAGAGTGAATCTGACCTTGGGGGTACCAGGCATACACATGGTACAGAGACAGCAGGCAAACCACCCATGCACATAAAATAAATCAGAGCCCTGTACCAGGTTCTCCTTTCCTCTCCCCCTGGGGTGTGTACTACCTCTGGGAGAAATATGGGCTTGGGAATCCAGCCCCCGGTCCACTGAAGTGTGCTGAGGTCACCCTCGATCTCTTGTACAATTGCTTCATACTCAGCTCGAAGGCTCTGGAATTGACGTCGGACCAAATAGCCCCGGATACCAGCCTAATGTGGAGAACAAGCGGGGGGGGGGGATATGTCTCTAAATATTTTTAGGAAAGCATTATTTTGAGCCGAGCATTGGTGGTGCATGCCTTTAATCCAAGAACTTGGCAGGCAGAGGCAGGTGGATCGCTTGAGTTCGAGACCAGCCTGGTCTACAGAGCAAGTACCAGGGCAGCCAGGACTACACAGAGAAAATCTGTCTCTAAACACACACACACACACACACACACACACACACACACACACACACACATACACACACACACACACCACACTCACACACTCGGAAAGAGAAAGAAAAGGGGTGTATCGATTTTGTGGTTGTTGAATCAAACCCAGGGCCTTGAACATACTAAACAAGCACTCTACCTCTGAGCTACATCCCTAGCCTAAAAAGAGATCTTGGACGTTTCGTTTCTGGAGAGGCCATCGGGAGTTGCCAGACAAAACACCGTCATGGGGAAGGGATGGGCAACTGCAACTGTGTTTTGGTGCTCTGGGAGGTCAAGAGAAGTGCTCCTCCTCGCTTGAAGGTTCTTTAGCTCTTTCCCAACCCCGCCCCCAGCTGGGCATTCTTCAGTGCAGTGCAGGTAGAGGGACGTTACGTAAGAGCTGCATCTCGCCAAAGGTCCCAGTCCCGGTCCCTGACCCCAGGTACATTCGCAGCTGCAACACGACCTGCAATGCCGACACCTTTTGAAGAAATAGGTCAGTCTCCTTCATGTCACCAACCGCCCTGTGCTGTGCGGCGTCCGCAAATGTGCGCTTGCGCGATGCGTCTTTCGGCAGCGCCGCACTTGAGCATGCGCACAGTGCCCTGCCCTCCATTTCCTGGGTCACGTGCCCAGCTTCCTCTTTCGACCCGCCTACGCTCCCGAGCCCTGCCCGGGTCTTTTCTCCCAACCCAGTATGCAGCGCCGTTAGAGTAAGGACACCGAAAAGGAATTGTTCTTCCGCATGTTTAATTCCAACCAGGGCCCCCCACCTCGTAGCACCTGGGGGACTGCGGAAAAAATCACAGTTTGAAGGGAAGGAGAGAAGCAGTCTAGGCCTGGATCCCACACCTACGACGCTGGCTGCTCCTCAGGCTCAGCATTCTCTGCCAAGTGCAGCTTCTGTCTGTGCCAGTCAAGGACTGTGACGCTTTGGACCCCCAGTGTTTCCACCTGCCTTCCTTCCCATCCCGTGTGCGCGCGCGTGTGTGTAAGAGTCATTATGAAAAGCTGAAAGGGCATGAGAACATCACACGAGCGTTGTGTCAACTTCAAATATTTCAGTCGGGCCAGGCCTTCCTCTGCTTTCTGAATGCTGGGATTAAAGTTTTGTGCCAACACACACGATGCATTTTTCTCTTAGCATTTGGGAAATTCTACTTTCTTCTTCTCAAGTAGGGATAGTTTGTGGTTAACCCAGTCAGGACTGCCGGAGATGGGCAAGTTTGTTACCTGTGAATATACCGGAAGGGAGACGGGAAGGGAGAAACTGATAACCCATCCTGAGAGACACCGGAACCGTACCGGTCCCCTTGGAAAGGATACATGGAATTGCTAAGATCTTCTAGCTGCCAATAGAGAGAGAAGGTTTAAGTCAGGAGGGGACCCCTAACAAACAGGATGCTCAGGTGAAGCCCTACTAATTAATGGAGCCTGAGGGACTCACAGCACTTGGGTTCATGTACCCCAACTTTGCACTGGGAGACTTGGGAACCTGTGCCCTCTCCACCCTTGGTATCTCCAGGATCTAAGACGGCCGGTTTTATGACCCACATTGCTAAGCAGTTGGTCCAGGTTACGGTCAGCCATCGTCTTCTTCTGCTCCTCAGGCAAGCCCTCTGTGACGCCATCGTCTTCCTCTTCCTCGTCCTCCTCCTCCGCACACACATCCAGGCTGAAGTGCAGTCTGGCCAACTTCTCCTGCATCTCCCGCACATGCTCCAACTGCTCGAAGGAGCATTCCTTCCCTGGGCAACTTGTGAGTTTAGGAGCCAGCCTGGAACCCTAGCCCCAGCATACCCCCAGACGGAGACTTCGGCCCCACCCACAGAACTACCCTGCCCCTGGACTTACCAAAGGCCTGCAGGCGGCCTGAATGAAAGTCATTGAGCAGGTTCAGCAGTCCCCCCTCCATCTCATAGACATCTGTCACCTCGGTCAGGAAGGAGTGTTGCAGGGGTGTGCCTGCAGAGCCGCCGCCACCTCCAGCCAGCACTGGTCGGCATTTCTCCTTGCCTACTCTGGGGGAAGTGGACACGACCATGGTCATGGGTGTTGGGGACAGCCAGGCACACCCAGATGTCATGTGCCATCTCTCTCTGCCCCACCCACTCACCAACACAAATGGATGTCTGCTCTCAGGTCCTGCCTGAGGTGGGTAAAGGGAAAGGAGCTAATGAAGGCCAGAGAGGAAGAGAGCATAAAGAAGTCTGTTTCCAGGAGTGCTGCAGCCAGGGCTGGGCCTGTGTGGAGACTGACCAAGCCTCCTGTCTGGGAGCCCATGGAGCCCCTGTTATTCTGGATGGGTCACTTGTCCTTGCCCTTACTGAGTTTCCTTCTTTACTGCCAACAAAGCGCCTCCAATCAAAAAACCTTCCTGCTCTTGTTCCAAAACTATTGTGAATTTTCCATGTCCTGGCAGGTGTGGCTCTGGCTGCAGCACAGTAATACAGAGTAACCCCGAACAGAACACTCCAGTCAGCCGGGCCTTCCTTCCTCTCCAGCTGCATTTCCTACGATTCTCAAGTAGCCTTGAACTTCAGACACCACCTACTGCAGCCATGCTGGCAATGCTTGTCAGCAGGTGACAGGGACTTCCACAGGGGCACTGTGTTTATGCTTTTATTTAGAATGGTAGGGAAAAGAACACATTGTATTTATGGGAACAAATGTGGACAAATTCCTTTTTGCTTTGTCCTTTTCAGACAGGGTCTCACTACACAGACTTGGCTGTCCTGGAACTATCTGTATAGACCAAGCTGGCCTCATATAGATCTACTGGCCTCTGCCACCCAATGCTAGGATTACAGATATTTGCCATGGGCATGGTAGCACATGCGTTTAATCCCAGCAGTTGGGAGGCAGAGACAGCCAGATCTCTATGAGTTCAAGGACAGCCTGGTCTACAGATAGAGTTTCAGGATAGTCAGGGCTGTTATATAGAAAAACCTCATCTTGGAAAATCAACAAGAAAAAGAATAATAATGACATAAAATAAAAAGAATTGAGCAGGGAATTTAAATGGGCTAGGGAAGTTGCTCAGTGGTAGAGCACTTGCTTAGCATGGTTCAATCCCCCAGCATCACTAAAATGAAATAAGAGGGGACAAATCGCTCATGAGGTATTTATTCCCCAACTCTTCTGGAGCCTTACAGGCAGGATCTTTGTCTCCATGCCATGCAAACTTTTCAGTTTCAAATATGCTTCCCTCTTCAGGGTGTCCGCAGCTTCCACTCACTTCCTCTTCAGAGATACAGCCCCACTCTGTGTGGTCCCCGTGACTCCCTGGTTCCCCTCTGTGCATGTGAGGGCAAGCATAGGGTCTACCTCACTGGTGAATGTGGAGCCGGCACACAGGGAAGGCAGCTAATGTCAGGAGGGCCTCCTTCCCTTCCACGGTCTCCTTCATTCTTGCCAAGCACCCTTTCTGCACTCACCTCTTGAACTTGGTTCGCTGCTTGGGTGATGGCAGATGAGGGAGTCCCAGGGCCAAGGAACCACTGTGGCTGGTGGGTACAGGGACTCTCCGTAGTGTGCCTGAGGACTGTGCTGGTTGGGCCAGGCAGGGTTTAGGACTCCGTTTCTTCTTTTTGTCATCCATTGGGTGCTTTTTGGACCTCAGGTCTGGGAAGGAAGGTAATGAGGGGCCAAAATCATCCCTTGTCCAGCAGTCAGGAGCTCTGTCCTGTTGTCTGTACAGGGCCAGATGCCAGCCTGCGGCTGGACTGTAACTATGCATATGAAAGATCTTCCAAGGCCACCCAAAGCCCTCTTCTCCTTCTCCTCTTTCTTCTTCTTTGTTCGTTTTTTGGTTTTTCGACACAGGGTTTCTCTGTGTAACTTTGGAGGCTGTCCTGGAAGTTGCTCTGTAGACCAGGCTGGCCTTAAACTCAGAGATCTGACTACCTCTTGTCTCCCGAGTGCTGGGATTAAAGGTGACTAAAGGCTTGTGCCACCACTGCCCAGCCAACCCTTTTGCCTTGAAAGCTCCACAGGCCTGCCTGAGAGGGCTGGAGTGGATCTTGCTGGTTTTCTGCCCCTGAAGCCCAGAGCCTGGGGCTGGAAAGGAAAATGCTCAGAGCCAGGGTGGATGTGACTGAGAATCAGGTGTATCTTTGGCAGATACTGACCTACATGAGATGTGACCACGGTAAGGAAGGGGCACCTGGAAAGTCCCTAGTGTCAATCTGTCAACCATAGTGACTAGGAATGGCCTACTCACGAACTGACCTCCCCCTTACATTTATCTTCTCCCACTTCACTTCAACTGCAAATACAGGCATACTTTGAAGGTCCCTGGGACGACTTTCTAGTCTTTTCCTTTTCCAGTTAGAAAGTCTCTGGGTGCTGGGTGGTGGTGGTGCTCGCCTTTAATCCTAGCACTCTGGAGGCAGAGGCAGGCTGATCTCTGTGTTTGAGACCAGCCTGGTTTACAGAGCAAGTTCCAGGACAACCTCCAAAGCCACAGAGAAACCCTGTCTCCAAAAACAAAAAACAAAAAAAAAAAAGAAAAAGTCTCTAGGTTTGGATCTCCACCAATGTCTGCAGCTGTGGTCAACAGACATTAGCCTGACTCCCAAGCAGCCTTGGGCATCTGGTCGGCTGAGGTCCTCTCTAGGGGGGGTCTCAGTCTAAATTGTCAAAAAACTCGGTCACCTCATTCCTGAGATGGCGATGATGGAGTAGGAACATAGCATTTAAGCCAGCATGTAACAGCTGGATGGCATCAGTGTGGTTGGGTGGGGTAGAGGGGAGATACTGTGTCTCTCCGAGCAGCAGGGTGACCCAGTGACTTGATGGAGGCAGCAGCCAGAGCAGCTGTCCGTGCTCAGCCTGGGAAGGAAGCTGTGTCCGAAGAATCACAAAATTCTGAATCTTGGCTTCAAAACAAGAGCATCAGGTGCGTTACCCCACCCCCTCCTTTGTCACTCCCCTCCCGGATCCCTTGGGGGAACCACTGACCTGGAGGTTTGGGATGTGCAGGGAGAAATGGTGCTTCTTCGTAATCTCCCTTTACCCTGCTCTCTCTCTCTTCTCCCGGGAACTAGAGCTGGTGGGAGCAAAGCTGGCTGGAGGTGATTTGCATTTAAAGAGAAAGTAGCCTTCTTTGAGAGGCTGAACGGGAGGAGAGTCCTCATATTGACTAACAGTTCCTCTTACTCTAAGGGGACTCTGTTAGTTTTTGGATGTCGGTTTAAAATACCTTGTTTTTTGTCACGTCTGGAGGGAATCCCTTACAAAATGGTGGTGGCTTTGTGTGAAGGAGGGTGATAGGAATAAATGAATGTGTGGGTATAGGCAATATATCAGTATAAAAGAAAGATAAGCAGCAGCCACCAGAATACACAAAGACAGCCACGTATCCAAGTGACCTGTTAAGCCTTTTATGGACATTTAATCCTTATAATCCTGAGACACAACTGTCATCTCCATATTATTGAAAACAACCAGTTGTCACTCATTCCTGGGCAATAGCACTGTCCCATCATATCCAGACACTCCTAGCTGGTAAGTGCTGACTGGACCTCTTCTCACCTATGTAGGGAGAACCAGAGCAAAGCTGGCAACCTGAGCTCCTGAAGGAGCCTGACGCAGAACTGTTTGTTGCAGTGCTGGCCAGGAGGCAGGTTCCATCACCAAGGCAGCTATTTAAAGACCTGGCAGACTCCTGGCTCAACCCTCCACAGCAGCATCCAGCACCACAGTAGAGTAGCACCCTTAGTCAGGCTGCCCAGACCTAGGCAACACATTCATCTTCCCCTTCCCCTGCACAAAAGCAGATTTCCCTGACCTGGGCCATTGGCTGCTGGGAACCCAGAGGTGTTGCTTCCACAGACACCAACACATGAATCCGGTCCAGGCGCTTTAAACACCCAGGCTACTCTATGAAGGGACAGTAAGTTAAGACTTGTGAACAACCAAGGGCCAGAGGGCGGGGAGGGCAATGGGGATGTCCCTTCTTTTCCTACAGGAGCTTCTGGGGTGGCGCCAAGCTCCTCCACCGAAGTGGCCAAGGGCCCAGAAACACCTCTGGTGTCCCCACCTTCACCTCCTTCCCCCAGGGGCAGAAGTTTTGCAGAGCTGCTTTGCTTGTAAGTTCCTGAGGTGGAGCAGCAAAGGAATCCCTGCACCTTCTAGGGGATTTTCGGAACCAATGTGGCATGTGGTGGATGGAATATATTAGTCTACCACCTCTGGCTAGAAGGGTCCAAGGTAATGACGGCCCTCCTGGGCCAGTGAGCTGGGCAGCAAAGCTCCTTTAAAGCTGTTGCTGGGAGTTGAACCCTGGTCCCATGCAAGAGCAGTCAGTGCTCTTAACTGCTGAGCCACCTCTCCACTTTCTTGGGCACCTTGGAAAATGTTTGTAGGGAAGCCTTTTCATTTTTATTTTTTGAGACAAGGTCTCATTAGCCCTAGCTGGGCTGCAACTTGGTAGGTAGACCAAGATGGCCCTTTGAACTTAACTTTTGTGATTAAAGGCATGTTCTATCATGCCAGGTTCAACTAATTATTAAATGAGATAATTAACTTTCTGTCCTTTTTAGGGTCTCTTCTACTTTAAAAGAACCTTCCCTCTAATTGCTAATTACTTAAAAATCACATGTACTTATTATGTGCACTCCTGTGTGAAGATTACTTTTAGAGATCAAAAGATAACTTGGAGTACATTCTCCACCATGTGGATCCTAGGGATGATAGAGCCATCCAGTGAGCCATCGGAAGCTACCCTTCAAGCCCTTTTCCTGTGAGGCAGGGTGTCATCATGGCACCCCGAAGACTACATGCAGACCCTCCTGTCTTTCCCTTCAGAGTTGGAATTAAGGGCACACCTCTCCCTTGAGACAGTTTTAGTATATAACCCTAGCTGAGGCAGTCCAAGGTAGCCTTGAACTCACAGCAGTCATGCCTCAGGCTTTCCATGCTAGGCTTATAGTGTGCACACCTTCACCTTATTGAAACTTAAAAAAAAAAATACTTAAAAGTCCTTTGATACCCAAAAAAAAAAAAAAAAAAGAAGAAAAGAAAAGAAAAGGCGGGGCATTGGTGGCACACACCTTTACTCCCAGCACTCAGGAGGCAGAGGAAGTTGGGTATGAGGCCAGCCTGGTCTACAGAGCAGAGATCCAGGACAGCCTCCAAAACAATACAGAGAAACCCTGCCTCGGGAAAAAAAAAAAGTTCTATAATACTCTATGCCAAGAGCAAACACAGCTGAAGTAATGTCAGGATCCTGAACCTGTGGTAACCAGTAGAAGGCAGGACACTGCCATGGCCAGTTTGCTAACCCAGACAAGTCCGTAACAATGGAGAGGGCTAGATGGGGATCAAGAAACAGCAAATGACTCAATTAGCAGAGATACAAGTAAGGCAACAGACTATTTAATATGGTGTAAAATACATCAATATCAAGTCCCTGGCTGTTGTGAATACGAAAAATAGACCGGGAAGGGAAGAGAAAAACAAAAAGCTATGAGCACAACCTCAAACAAGTGTGAGTGGCAAAGGAAAGCAATTATGGGGCAGAGGCGGCTCTCCTACTCCAGGCTGGTCAAGAGGGACAGCCAGGTGCCTGGTGGCCCACCCATGAAGTTGGGGTGGGAGGGTAGGAACAGCATTGAGCAGGCCTCAGCCTCCCTATAGATACCCGGACAGCTCTACTAACCCTCAGTAGGACTAACAAGGCGGGGTGAGGAGGGTTAAATAACCATCATTGCAGAAACAACACTCTCACAAAGTGCCTGAGCACTGCCCATGGTCCAAAAACCTCATGGAAATCAAAGAAACAAAGTGCTGGGGACATGGTATACATGAAGCTCTCAACGGGACAGGACTCAAATGTCACTGTGGGTGTAGCCAAGGGCCCTGGGTGCTAAGCCTTACCCACTGTGGTCCTCTAGAGAAAAAGCTATCAATCCTATAAACCAACACAGATCTTGGTCCTAAAATGAAGTCATGTGCATGAACTCACTGGAGTGAGGAAGGCATTGGCCCTCACTCACAGACAGGCCACCTCCCTGCAGCTGGCACAAACTCCTGGGTTGACTTAGGAAAGCAGAGCAGCTGTAGTGACTTAGGATTTGGTCAGTGTTGGTGGCGCACGCCTTTAATCCCAGCACTCAGGAGACAGAGGCAGGTGGATCCCTGTGAGTTCGAGGCCAGCCTGGTCTACAGAACCAGTTCCAGGACAGACTCCAAGACAATACAGAGAAACCCTGTCTCCAAAAACAAAAAAAAACAAAAAAAAAACAACAAAAAAAAAAATTGGTCAGTGGTGAGGAAGAGACAACCATCTAGATTTTGCCCTGGGTGCTTAGAAATTAGACAGAGCTAATAGCTTCAAGGTTCTACACATTGTAGCTTCCTAGCCCATACCACTGAGACCAAACGGCTGTAACCCCTGCATGGGCTTTAAGAGGTATCTGAAGTGAGGCAGGCCAATTACATGGGCCACAGCAGAAAATACCTTGTCCTCACTCCTCTGCAGCCAAACATGCCCCAGAGGGTTAACAGTTCAGATCTCAGCCTGGCATAAGGGCTTCAAGGCCTTCCCAGAGCAGGAAGAATACTATGATTTCCAAGGGAAAAATTTTGGGAGAACCTCCACAGGACAACAGACCCTCGCTGGAGATGGCAAAGAAGCCTCAACATCCACACTGCTGCTAGGCACGCTAGTTACCAGCATAGCAGGTTCTTGAAGTGGTAGTGCCCAACACAGGAAAGAGACATTAGTTTGTAATTCCTTGTGTTGAACACATGATTGTAAGCAGTAATGTTCTATTTACTTTCAATTTTCTGACAAGGGGTTCGGCTCCTAGCCCAGACTGGTCTGAAGTTCAATGTCCTGTTGAGTCCTGGGTTTACAGGCACACACCCAGCTCAAGTCTGAATGTGTCCATGTGTGGGCTTAGCAGCTAGTTATGAAAGATGAAGCAACTTACAGGATAATGCAATAGCTGAAACACCACAAGAAGCAAAATTTCAACCAATCTTGGTCTATGGTTTTCTTAGCTTACAGAAGCTGTTGTCCCAGTGACCTGTGTAAACTGCACACCCTGGCAGGTGTGAGCTGCAGATGTGAGCACAGATGTGAGCAGGACGTGGAGGAAAGGCAGACACAACTCCCTGCAGCTGTCTTAGTTCCTGGGACCAGTCTGTTGTTATTCCTGACACCTGGAGGCTCAGGCAGCAAGAAAATCCCAAGGACTCATTTTTTTGGCCAAGATGGTGCTAGGAAACTGCACCAGAACAGTCCTCAAAAATTACTCATCTGAGCTGGAGGTCAGGGGAGAGGAGGGGGAAAAAACACCCATAAGCCAAGGGGCATCTGGATCTAGGGTCCAGCAATGGCTACATCGAGATGGTCATGAGACTTAATGGTAGCCTCCCAGGCTGAAACCCATAGGCAAGTTTGTGGCAAGGTCATTAACCTTTCTCTTAATAATCTTAACTTCCCAAACAAGACACCTTGGCACCAACACGGCAAAGGACCCTGACAGGGTTGTGGAGAATGGGGCCCTGGAGGCCAGGCACCTGGGCCCATTGCTAGTATATCCCTCTCCCTTCCTTTGTAGATCTTTAATACGAACTCTTATGTAAAACAAAACAACAACACCTCCAAACAGAATCCTTTGGGTGACCTTGTGTCAATCATTTGTGCAGGCTAGAGGCACCTGTGAATGATAAGGCTACTGAGAATGGGAAGCAACACTGGCCTGGACCTGGCACTACCAGAGGGCAGGGAACTGGTGCCTGAAGGGGCTCCTTCACACACAGACACACCCCTCAGTTTCCTTGTCTTGGGCTAGAGGAAGCTTAACCACCAGCTGTTTCTTACAAAGGCTCTGCCCAGGAACACCATTCCCAGCAATGGAACCTCCAGGGGAGCAACAAGAGCCCAAACTGCCCAAGCTCTGCTTACAAGGGAGGAGTCCAGGCCTGGGTGTTCACTCTTCACGAGCTCTGAAAAGGCTGACAGGTCTGAGCCTCAAAGTCAGGCAGGAAAATGTTCAAGTCATCTGACCTGGTGGCTCACTGGATGGCAGCTACAGATGAAATCTTCTAAGACTTCGGTGTAGAGTCACCAACTTCATCTGCATATCCCACCCTTGATGAAAGCCCACTGTACCCCTACAGGTGTTAACTGCACACCTGCCCCATCATGTAAGTAAGACTAACCCACAATTGGAAAATTGCAAAGTGTCCAATGCCCTCCAGGTCAGAACACCCTGGCCTTAGCACTGGGCTGCTCAGTGTGGGAGCCTTGTATGAACCAGGCCTGACTGGGCTGCTGCTCCCTTCCCAGCATGCCCAAGCACCATGATCTCTAGGCAGTGGCAGAAGTGGGCTGCCGGGGCCCTGTTTGGCCTGCTATTTCTGTGCTTGGTGCTCCAGGGCAGCCAGGAACTTCTGTGGCCCTTGGGGAGCTGGATGGTTGAGCTCCAGGACTCTCAAGCCCTTGTTCCTTGGAGTCAGTGGCAGACTCTGGCCTCCGCTCAGTGCCAATGTCAGTGAGGGAGCCCTGGGCACCAGCGGTCAGGTCCTGTACCCTCTTGTTCAGGTCATTGCGCTCTGTCTGCAGTGCTCTGCATAGCTTCTCCAATCGTTGGATTTTCACCTGCAGCCCTTCCAGCTCTTTGTCCCGGAGAGTTTTCTAGGTGGAGAAATAAATGGAGCATTCAGTGAAACACTCATTTCTTCAAGTTTGCAACTTAAAATCAAGAGCCGGCCCCTATAGTAAACAGTCCTAGCTTACAGTATGACTTGTCAGACAATGCATCCCTCTACTTATCTACCCGATGACCCAGGCAAAGCATTTACAACTTGAAACTGTAACATCTGTTAAACAGAACTAGCCAATCTCAGTTCTCAAAAGAAGGTTCAAAGATGAGATATGACAAATGGGAGAACTACCCTGTGCAAATAAAGGAGATAAATAAAGGAGAGTGGGGCAAAGTTGGTTTGTAGCTGCTGTACTGTTAGTGTCTGTCTTGTAGACTTCAAGCCACAGTCAACTCTGGAACACCCTACATGTGAACCACACCAACCATTAGTACCAACTGTTTCCTGTTCCTGGGACCTAGTCTGGGGTGCCTCACTGCTAAGGGCAGTAGCCAGCGTTGTCACTGCACTTGGATAAATATGATTGGAAATACAGTTATAGATCATGGGTAGTGTCACTGAAAACAGGTAGAGTACTGATAGACCATAACTGCACCCAGCCCATTGCCCTCTACCCACCTCTTCAGCCATCTCGAGCAGAGCCTTATTGCTGCTCTCCCACCGGGATCGATACATGGTTGTTTCTTTCTCCAGCTTTTTGATCTTCTTTGTCATCTGTTACATGACAGATGGAAAGGAAAAGGTCAGAGTTCGGCTGTCTGGACATCTGTGCCTCCATCCAAAGAAGTAAACATTACATTTATGCCAGCTGGGAGCCACAAGTTAACTCTACCACTGAGGGGCTGACAAGACTGCTTAGGACGTAAAGGAGGAACTCCTACCAAGTCTGATAATCTAAGTTCCACGCTTGAAACCCACAGAACCAACAACTGCAAATCTATGGTGTATGCGTACAACATACACATACACCCCCACCAATAAAGTAATTTAAAAACACGCAGGGTGGATCTCTCTGAATTCAAGACCAGCCTGGTCTACACAAGGAGTTACAGGGCAACCAGAGCCATGTCTCTAAAGAATAAATAAACAGACCGGGCCACCAGTGGTACACATGCCTTAGATCCCACTACCCACAGGAGGCAGAAGAAGGTGGATCTCTGTGAGTTTGAGGCCAGCCTGCTCTAGAGAGTGAGTTCCACAACAGGCTCCAAAGTTAGAGAAACCCTGTCTTGAAAACCAAACCAAAAAAAAAAAAAAAAAAAAGGGCCAAAAAATAAAAAACAAAATAAATAATATTCTTTGTGATATATGAATTAGTTCCTGTGAGGCACCCAAAGGTAGTTCTGAATGAAGTGACTTGGGCCCCCTCTTGGCCCGGCCCAAACCCTCTGGTTACCTTTTCCATTTCCTGCTTGAATGTGGTAAACACTTCACTGCTTTTGGAAAGTGTATTCTGGAACTCCTCAAACTTCTCTGTGTACAGGGCAAGCTGGATGAGAGGGGCACAGCAGTGAGGCTAGGCGTCTCTGAAGGCATCTCTGGGTAACACACTCAATCAGGTATCCCTTTGGCCCCCTGATAAAACCGTTTTACTGAGATACCATTTCCTAGTTTTTTGTTTTTTTGTTTTTTGTTTTTCGAGACAGGGTTTCTCTGTGGCTTTGGAGGCTGTCCTGGAACCAGCTCTTGTAGACCAGGCTGGCCTCGAACTCACAGAGATCCGCCTGCCTCTGCCTCCCAAGTGCTGGGATTAAAGGCGTGCGCCACCAACGCCCGGCCCATTTCCTAGTTAAAAAAACCACAGCCATGCACAGGAAGGATGTGTTCCAACATGAGAAACTGGAAAGTAAGCTTGAGAAGACTTCAGCAGGTAGAGATTCTGACATTGGTCTCTTAAAAATACAAAACAAAGGGCAGTGGTGGTGCACGCCTTTAATCCCAGCACTCGGGAGACAGAGGCAGGCGGATCTCTGTGAGTTTGAGGTCAGCCTGGTCTACAGAGTGAGTTCCAGGACAGCCTCCAAAGTTACAGAGAAACCCTGTCTCGAAAAACAACAACAACAACAACAACAACAAAAAAAAAACAAGACAAGACAAAACAAACAACAGCAAAACAAAAGTAAAAAACAAAACAAAAACTGATGAGGCTGGAGATAGCTCAGCAGTTAAGAACCCTGGATGTTCTTCCACAGGACCTGGATTTAATTCCCAGCACCCACATGGAGACCACAAGTGTACCTCCAGTTCTAGGGAATCTGGTGTCCTCTTCTGGCCTTTGAGCGAACCAGGCACACAACTGGGGCAGACATACAGGCATGCAAAACATCCATACATATAATAGTAAAGTAATATAAGAATAAAAAGAAACCGAGCTACACATGGTAGCTAATACTTTATGCATCTTAGAGGCAGAGGACTGTTACAAGTTCAAGACCAGCCTTATCTACAAGGTGAGGTCTAGGTTAGCCAGTGCTAAACTTAGAGACCTTTTCTTTTCTCTTCTTTTAGTTTTTCGAGACAGGGTTTCTCTGTATTGTTTTGGAGGCTGTCCTGGAACTTGCTCTGTAGACCAGGCTGGCCTCAAACTCACAGAGATCCACCTGCCTCTGCCTCTTGAGTGCTGGGATTAAAGGTGTGTACCACTCACCAATGCCCAGCGAGATCTTTTCTTTTCAAGATATGGTTTTGCTATGTAGCCTTTCCTGACCTCAAACTCAGGTTTGCCTGCCTTTGCCTCCCTAATTGAAGGATTAAAGGCATGTATAACTACCTCTTAGCAACCTTTTCTTTTCTTTTTTAATTAAGATTATATTTATTATGCATACAGTATTCTGTCTGCATGTCTGCCTGCAGGCTAGAAGAGTGCATAAGATCTCATTACAGATGGCTGTGAGCCACCATGTGGTTGCTGGGAATTGAACTCAGGACCTCTGCAAGAGCAGTCAGTGCTTTTAAACTGAGTCATCTCTCTAGTGCCCCCAACCTTTTCTTAAAATAAATAAAAGGCTTGGTTGAGACTAACACACCACTTGGCTGAGAACCCGCCTAAGATGAGGGTCTTGTCTCCACAACCGTGGAGATGGGACCTTGTGACTGCAGGTTAGGTTCCAGCCTCACCTGCTGCTTCAGGTGGGTCTCCTGTTGCTTCATCAGCTCACACATCCTCTGGGACTCCACTGCTTCTTTCAGGAGCTATTTCCAAGACAGGACCCCAGAACTGGTCAGAAGCCCCTGAGGGGCACGTTTGGCCTTCTTTAGCCACAAGCACTGGACCCACTGAGGCTACCTGCTTTCAGACTGTCATCTGAGCAGGCAGTTATGGGACCAGGCAGGCAAATCCTCTCCCTCCATATGAACGAGACTCTGACCTAAGCCAAAACCCAGCCCTTCCTTCTAGTCCCGACCACAGCCCTGGGGCCTGAGCCTCACAAACTCCTTCTCCCGCTGGTGCCGCTCCTCTGCCTCCTTCAGCATCTCCTGGGCCTGCTGGAGTTTGGCATCCACTAGCTGCTGCTGCAGGTCCTTGTGTTTGAAGACTTTGTCGATATGCTGTAGAAAAGAGTTAGTGGAATTTGCTTGTCAGGAGTTCGCCTTCAGGAGGCCCCAACTCTGGAACACAAGGACTTCATCCAGTCTCATCTTGATCCCACTGTCCTTGGGAGGTCACTTCCCTAACCCCAACCTGATGTGTAGACAGGACAGTACACCTCTACTCCCAACTGAGTACTTCTGCAGATCCCTGGTTCAGGCACCTGAGGGTCAAATGTTTTCTCTCCAAATCAGTTCCTTGTTTATGAATCGAATCGTCTTTTGAAGGAAGAGCAAGAACAGGCCTGCAGGGTGCTGCCCTAGTCCCCCTGGCACTTACTAGAGCCTCACCCACTGCTGGCCACAATCACCTCACCTCTTCACGAAGCTCATACTGCTCAATCAACTTCTTGAGCCTCTCCGCCAGTTCCATATTCTCTTGGCGCAGCTTGGAGTTTCGCTCATTATGCTGTTCCATCTGCAGCTGAATGTCATTCAGTGTCACCTGGAAGTGTGAAGTCACCTCTTTTCGTTTCTCCTCCTCCTCACGGGCTCTCTGCACACCTTCTTCCTGAAGAGAGAAGCCAGCCATGGAACCATCATCCTCAGCTCGAAGCTCTATATAAAGCTCCCCTAACTAGTCCACAGTCTTTGCCAACAGGGCTACTGGCCCCACAATGAGAAGCACCTAGGCTCCAGATGTCATACAATTAGATTTCCTAATGTGACCATCTATAAATCAGGTGACATCAACTGAGTTTTTCCTTAGAAATACTCAACATGAGCCAAGCGGTGGTGGCACACACCTTTGAGGGTTAGGGTTAGAGAAACCCTGCCTCGCACTCCGCAATACACACAAAAAAGAATACTTCAGCATACATGTTAAGTGTAATGCTGAAGCGGTCTACATCTTCTGAATTCTTGTTTCCAGATTCTAGATTAATTATTCCTGCTCGTTTCCCAAAGAAAACAAAATGATAAAATGTGCTGATGATAAAAGCCTGTCTCTTTTTTTTTAAACGTTCTGTCACCTTAAGTCAATTTTAAAAAATACATTTACTGCTTATGTATAGACATGTACGCCATGGTCCACGTGTGGAGGTCAGAAGATAGCCATAGGGTCCCAGGGATTGAACACAGGCTATCAGGTTTGGCAGTAATTACCTTTACTGGCTAAGCAATCTTGCTGGTCCAAAATTAATTTTACTATTTTTTTTCTTGTGTTACTGAGGATGGAAGCCAGGCTGTTGGAAATGTTAGACAAATACCTTATCTCTGAGATGTACCCAGGCTTTAACCTCATATTGTGGGGTAAGGTCTTGCTAAGTTGCTCAACCAGGTCTTGAACTTAATGATCTTTCTTCCTTTGCCTCACATACTAAAAAGATAAAAACTAAATATGGCTGGGCGTTGGTACACGTCGTTGATCCCAGCACTCGGGAGGCAAGGGCAGGTGGATCTCTGTGAGTTCAAGACCAGCCTGGTCTACAAGAGCTAGTTCCAGGACAGCCTCCAACGTCACAGAAAACCCTGCCTTGAAAAACCAAAAAAAAAAAAAACAAAAAACAAAAAACAAAACAAAACAAAAAACCCAAAATCTAAACATGAGGGCATACACAGTGAGCTGCATTAACCTGCCTGTGCCTCAGAGGGCTAGGATTAAAGGTGTGTACAATATAAAGGCATGCACTACCACTGCCTGGCTCACTTGTCTGTTTTAAATCTTCTAAGGTGGCCTACAACTCACTCTATAGCACAGCCTTGCTACTTTCCAAGAAGCAAGCCCACAAAATACTAACTGACCTACCTTGAGGGATCGGTTGTGTCGCTGCAGCTCCCGGCATAGGCTCTCAAGCTTGCTTCGGGCCAGGACAGCTTTGCTATGCTCACCACGGAGATGATCCTTCTCCTGTACGAGCTGGCTCTGCTTCTTCTGCAGGAGCTTCATCTGCTTCTGTGAGTTTCTGTGCTCTTCCAGCTGAGAACAGGAGGGCAGGAAGTGTCTGGAGCATGGACTATTACATGGTTCTAGAGATTCCTAAACTAAGCACTTACTCACTCCTGTAGCACGAATAATAAAAACCCAGAGGCAGATATTAGGGTTAAAGCTGAAGATCAGAGAAGCAAAGCAGCCAGCCACTAGAGTTCTCACCCCTACCAATGCTCAGACCAAAGGAGAGATCCACCGAACCTCAGACTGCTCCCAGCTGCATTACTCCTCAGACTCCTTCTTGCCTTATATTCCTCTCTAGTAGCGGGATTAAAGGCGTGGGATCCCAAGTGCTGAGATCACCTTTGTGGGAGCTGTTTCTCTTTTAGACTGCATCAATTTTATGTAGCTCTGGTGGCCTTAAACTAATAGAGATCTGTATGCTTGTCTCCTGAAGGCTGGGATTAAAGGTGTGTGTCACCACTGCTTGGTCTCTATGGCTAACCAGTGTGTCTAGCTTTGCACTCTGATCTTCAGGTAAGCTTTATTTGTTATATCATAAACAAAGTATCAGTCACCACTTACTCCTTCCACAACAGCTCAGACAAGAGCACGCTTATGGACAAAAACAGTTGGGAGTTTCGCTCCTCCCAGTGACTTCTCAGACTAACCCAAAGGCTTGTCTTAGGTAAATAATAATGAATAATCATGAAGACCAGAAATGCCAGAGTCAGCAAACCCCAGCTTCTATGTCAGCACTGCCTCCAGACACTTGAGACTATCACATGATCCATACCCTCCAACCAACTCACAGACCTCCTCAGCATCTGATTTCTTTCAGACTTGAACTCTCATTCAAAACACTGCCTTTCCCCACAACTACTATTCTTATTGGTGGCTATTTCATTGTTGACAGAAAGTCCTTCTAACTCTCCTGACTATACAGTCCTGATCCCCCTCCACAGACCTATTCCTTCCCAGTCAGCTCCTCTCCCATGATTACATCCAGACTTGGATTACAGAAATGCAACCCATATAAATGACTATAATCTTCTACTGGTCACACCAAGAAAGGTGAAATTTAAACTGTTTTTGTCAGACAGGGTCATGCCAACTGACCCATACTGACCTTGAACTCACTAAGTAAACCAGGGTTGACTTCAAGTCCTTGATTCTCCAGCCTCAGCCTTCTAAGTACCACCATGCCCAACTCTGAAATCTGATTTTTTTTCCTGAAACGTATTAAATTAACCCAGACTAGCCTAGTACTCTACCAATAAGCTATACCTCCAGCTTAAAACATCAGATTTTCAACAGTTAATCAATTTGAGATCTTTATATCCTTTTATCTTAGGTCTTTACAATCTGATGCAGAACTCTAACACCTCAGCAGATCTAAATTAGATTAGGGAGAGGGTGTTGTCTCACGCAGCATAGGCCTAGACTTGGTCACTCTAGGCCAGGACCATGACAATTTCTTTCTTTTCTTTTAAAGATTTATTTATTTGTGTATACAGTGTTCTGTCTGCCATGTCTGCCTGCAGGCTAGAAGAGGGCACCAGATCTCATTACAGATGGTTGTGAGCCACCATGTGGTTGCTGGGAATTGAACTCAGGACCTCTGGAAGACCAGTCAGTGCTCTTAACCTCTGAGCCATCTCTCCAGCCCCATGACATTATGGTCCCCACAAAGTTTCTCATTCAACTAGACTTTGTGCCTACTGACCCAACCAACTTTTCCTTCCATTCCCTTAGTCGGCTCAGCTTCTTAGCTTTAATAGTCTACTCTCTGGGCCCCTTTAACCTATGTTATGTTGCACCACTATTGCAGCAACCATACTTGAAGAGTCTTGCTTTAAGACTCTAAAAAAGTCCAATCAGTGGAAGACTCTTCAGAAATGCTACCACCTTCTCCTGTGATCTATACCCTTTTCTCAGACGATCGTTTGGCTCCTCTTCATATCTTCTCACCTTAGATATGGTCATGGTTCTCATTTCCCTGGAAACCCAGAAGAAACCAGGGGACCACCAGCACAAGCCTCCCACCCACTGCCTGTAAATGACTAAGACAGGTAAGGCCAGCTCCCTCCCTCATTGGTGGAGCACTCTCTTTGTGGGCTGGGCCACAGTTCCCTCCTATACACAGAACATTACCCCAGTAGCTCAATTATTCTTCCCTTGCAGTGTCAATATTTCCCTAGCTAAATCCTTCCAAAATTGATCTTATCTTTTCTGTATTACTTTTTGTTTGTTTGTTTTTGGAGACAGGGTCTCTCTATATAATGCAGGCTATCCTGGAACTCACTAGATCAGGCTATTCTTGAACTCCAGAGATCTGTCTCTCCCCCCATGAGTGCTGGGATTAAAGGAGTATAGCACCATGCTAGGCTCTGTATTTCTTATAGTTTTAATGTGTATGGGTGTTTCGCTTACATTTGTGTCTATGCAACACTTGTGTGCCTAGTACCCTAGGAGCCCAGAAGAGGGTGTCAGATCATCCAGATCCAGAGTTATAGTTAGATGTGAGCTGCCATGTGGGTGCTGGGAATGAAACCTAGCTCTTCTAGAAGAGCAGTCAATGTTCTTAACCACTGAACCACCTCGCCAGCCCGACCCCCGCCTCTGTGTGTATACATGTATACATACATACATACATACATACATACATATCCTAATGCACTCAACACTTTCACAATGAGAAAGATGGCAAGATCAGAAGACCAGCCTAGGAATTTCCTTTTTTTTAGAGACAAGGTAGCATAGCCCAGGCAGACCTTGAATTCTTGGTCCTCCACCTCCAAGAATTAAGGTCTGCACTACCACTCCTAACTCACACTTGGAATTTCTTTTTTTTTTTTTTTTTTTTGGTTTTTCGAGACAGGGTTTCTCTGTGGCTTTGGAGGCTGTCCTGGAACTCACTCTGTAGACCAGGCTGGCCTGGAACTCACAGAGATCCGCCTGCCTCTGGCTCCCGAGTGCTGGGATTAAAGGCGTGCGCCACCAACGCCCAGCTTGGAATTTCTTATGATCCAACACAGAACCTAAGAATTCTTGTCTCAAGAACTGAACTTGAACTGGATCAAGCTCTAAGAGTCAACTTTCACTTTACTAAAGCAGCAAAAGAACAAGCACCATCACAAAGATGACAAAACGGAGATAAGACATTTGAGAGAGATGCATGTGCAAATACATAAAGACATGACTACACAGTGTCTGGGACCAAAGCTGAGATTCTACCATTTGGGAATGACTCTTTTGAGAAATTTCCTTACAAATCTTCTCTTACTGTCAGCAGTTAAGTAGCTGACTGGAAACTGACTTCTCATTTAATAGACAGGGGTATGAGAATTCATGAAAGGTTAAGAGGAATTAAGCCAGATACCTGTTCCTATACCCCCACACCTACCCCAGGTAGCCTGCTGACTCTCCAAAGGCAGGGAAGGTACCAGAGGAAGGAGGGGGGAGGCACTGACCAGTTCAGCATACTTCTTGCACAGTGCAGCCAGCTTCTCCTCTGGGGTACTCAGCGTGTTCAGTGTCTGCATCAGCAACGTGATCTCCTTCCCTATAAAGCACAGGAGTAAAGGCATGCACCCCTTCCTTCTTTGGACTTGCGTTTAGGCCCAGGCCTACACTTCTGAGTGCTAAGGCAGCCTGCACTGTTAAGACTGGTACTCCATGAAGAACTGGGACCACTTCAATCTTGCAGCTTCGTGACACATTACCACTGGATCACAAATAGGTCATTAACAAACGCTCATTAAATGAACAGATCCATCTCTTTGGTAAGCACTGCTAGTGAGAGGAAAACCTATTTTAAAACACTGGTAATCTACTTACAAATTCATGGCTACTGTTTCAATGCAAAGATGGTCCTTCTGACAAGAGATAAAATTTTAAAACAAAAGTATGAGGTCCTGGGAGAAATTAGCCAAACTTGGGTCAAAACTCATAGTTGCACAGTTATGTTTAAAATGAATGTCTTGTGTGGGGCATTGAGGTACATGTCTTTGATCCCAGCACTCACGAGGCAGAGGCAGGTGGATCTTTTGAGTTCAAGGCCAGTCTGGTCTACAGAGCAAGTTCCAGGACAGTCAGGGCTGCACAGAGAAACCCTGGCTCAACCCCCCCCCAATTAAATGAGTATCTCTTTCATAAGTGACCCTATGACAAAAAAAAAAAAAAAAAAAAAAAAGAGGCAGAGAGAGAGAAAGAAAAAAGAAGAGGAAGAAGTCTCTTTAAATTAGGACAAGTAGGCCGGGTGTTGGTGGCGCACGCCTTTAATCCCAGCACTCGAGAGCCAGAGGCAGGCGGATCTCTGTGAGTTTGAGGCCAGGCTGGACTACCAAGCGAGTTCCAGGACAGCCTCCAAAGCCACAGAGAAACCCTGTCTTGAAAAAACCAAAAAAAAAAAAAAAACCAAAAAAAACCAAAAAAAAAAAAAAAAGGACAAGTAACAAATGGAGGAAATAAGGACTAAGATATAGTTACAATGTCACCTAACATAAGATTTTTTTTTTCTTTGAAAGAGGGTCTTGCTATGTAGCCCAGGCTGGCTGCTGTTCCTGGTCCCCATTAGAGGCATATACTACCACATCCAGCTCAGTCTCCCCACCCCAAAGGACTGCCAATGCCTCCCTATTGTTAGTTTATTGAGATAAGGCCTCATCATATAGCTGGCTGGCCTGTAACTTAGAGATCTATTTGCCCGTGCTTCTCAAGTGCTAGGGTTAAAGGTATGTGCTAACATGCTTGGCTGCCACTGCCTGCCTGTATCTCAGCAAGTCTTGCAACTGGCTCCCTTGATCTCCACTGTACTCAGCACAGACCAGGTTCCTGAACTCAGCCCTGGGGACCCAAGAGATTGCAAACCATCAACACATAGAACAAATCCAATCTGTGGCTGGTTTTTGCTTGGTTTCTGTTACTTTAGCTGCCAGTTATTCAGCTAGTCAGTTAAAAGCAGGGAACAGGTAGAAGTTAATTTTTTGGATAAAGTAGATCCTCTCTTGATTCTCATGGCTTACCTGGTTAATGCTGACATTTGAGATCTTTACCTTGGTGTAGCCCAATTTTATTGCTTTCAAAATAGGGAAACTAAAACGCAGGAGTGGAACATGAACATGCCCACAGGCAAAGAGCAGGTTGCCTCCTCTAGCTTCCAAGGACAAGAGGCCTTAGTAATCTCAACAGCTCAATGCTGTGACCCTATAGTCATGACTTTGACTAAAATGGGGGACATTCTGTCTTGAGGACCAGATTCCTCTGAGTTCTGACAGAGCAGGCTTGCCCATGAAATGACAGGTCTTAATGCCCTCCCCTCACCAGTGGCTACCCTCTCTCACCCAGACCCTTGGCTTTCTTCTTTTCTTGTGGCTTTCGGTGGTCTCGGTCTCCAACCTCATCACTTGCTCGGATTTCTTCTGAGCCTGGCTCTCCCTTGGAGGTTTCCTTTTCACCATTGACTACTGGAATCCCTGGTTCAGGCTCCCCATTCCTTGCTGCATAGGTCCGGGACTTCTCTGCATCTTCAGGCTCAGTGGGCTCACCCTGTGCTCCCTCCTCGCCTGGGCCTCCCTGATTGTTGTCAACACAGTATGTACTCAGAATGTCTTCCAGCTGCCGGCTCAGCTCCTCAGACACATCACACAGGGGCCCAGACTTAGCTGCTTTGGCTTGAGCTCCTAAGGCAACAAGATTAGGACACAGAATGAAAATAAAATGGCTTGAACTTTCTTTTTCTTGAACCTGAGACAAATGCACTAGTTTGGGATAAATGTTTTATTTAGCCGGGCCTTGGTGGTGCATGCGTTTAATCCCAGCAGTCGGGAGGCAGAGGCAGGTGGATCTCTGTGAGTTCGAGGCCAGCCTGGTCTACAGAGTGAGTTCCAGGACAGCCTCCAAAACAATACAGAGAACAGAGAAACCCTGTCTTAAAAAAAAAAAAAAGTTGTTTTATTTTTTGAGACAGGATCTCAATATAGAGACCTGACACCTGACTGTCCTGGAACTCACTATATAGACCAGGCTGCCCTCAAAGTCAGAGATCTACCCGCCTCTGCCTTCCAAGTGCTGGAATTAAATGAGAGGGCCACTATGCCGAGTCTCAGTTTAATTGTTTTTAAACCCTAAGCTTACTTACTTATAAAATGATACAATTATTATCACCTAAACATACTTCTTTTTTTTTTTTTTTTTTTTTGGTTTTTCAAGACAGGGTTTCTCTGTGGCTTTGGAGGCTGTCCCAGAACTAGCTCTTGTAGACCATACTTCTTATGACCATAAAAGACAATTATGACTGAAAAGTAATGGTGCATGCCTTTACTTCCAGCATTTGGGAAGCAGAGGCAGGTGAATCTCTGTGAGTTTCAGGACAGCCAGGGCTACACAGAGAAAATCTGTTTAAAAAAAACAACTAAAGAAAACAAACCAAAAGACAACTATGTAAAGCACCACATCAGGGTGGTTGGCATGTAGCAGAAGCTCTGCCTCTAATTCATTTGTCCCTGCTCAAAACCCATTTTTGGTTATTTTTATAGTTCCAGTATGAAGGACAACTACCCCCCCACACACTGGCAAGTGTTTTCTGGGAACATGACTTTGTTTGTGGGGTGCCTCATTTGATTGTCATTTAGTTTAACCCAGTCAGAGCATGCTCCCAAGGTTCCATTCCAGGGCTAAAAGAGTGGAAAGATTCATCACCTCCCTGGGAAACCACACAGAATGGGTATTGTTTCATACTATAGTTCCTCCTTCCGGGGTAAACACTGGCCTCAGCATCGAGGACAGTCCCAGAAACTCCTCCCTCTGCCCACTGGAAAAGCAGAGCAGGCACACACCCTCAGTCTTCCCAGGAGCCTGGTTTGTGGAACCTTCAGCCTCCGGCGCAGGAGCTGTGTGTCTGGGCCGTCCCTGGGCTCCCTCTGCTCCCGCTTCCCGTGGCCCCGGGGTGCTCTTCGGGTTGGAGTGTTTGGCAGGGCCGTTCTTTTTGTCTTGGTTCTTCATTGTGATCTGCAAAGGTAGAAAACGGGCAGATCCTTTGAAGAGGACACAGTTGCTATTTCCCAACTTCAAAAATTTTCACAACCTATATCAGAAATCCCAACATCAGGCGCTCCAAGCTTCAAACAAATTAGCCGGCCCCGGCCGGAGACTCGAGGTTCCCCTGCGGGGTTTCCGAGAAGCTGCCCCTGAGATTGGAGAAGAGGCCTCCTTTCTCCCGAAAGCCACTTCCCAGCAGCACCGCTCTGCGCCCTCGCGGAAGCGGAGCGCGGGATTGGCTCCCCGCCGCAGAATGACGTGGCGGGATGCTCCAGTCCCAACCGGTCCCCCCCTCCAACCCCCGCCTCGTCTCACGTGGGACCCCCGGGCGCGCGCGCGCGCGGAAGCCACCCACAGTCCGCTCGCCCTCTAGCCCCACGGCACGCATGCGCAATGCGGCGACATTACCCCCCCCCACCCCTACGGAATTAGTTATTCCTCTACGGCCAACGCAACCTGGGCCACAGACCCTCTGAAGAGCTCGTCCCACCTACCGACAACAGACAAACCTCACCACGGAGGTCCAACGGCGTCCTCCCGCTCCGCCGGGCACCGGAAACCCGGGTAACCGCTGCCAGCAGGACCGCCCGCTCCTGCCGCAGCCAATGAACAGCTAACTCTGGCGCGAAGCTTGCTGGGAAAGACGAGGCCAAGGTGGCTTTGGAGTCGGGACCGGGAATGAACTACGAGTCCCTTCATGCATTGCGGCGGGGCACGATTCCCGAGATGCCTGTCGTTTTAGGATCTCTACACCCTGCGGGTCCGAAATTATGTAGTACAGTCTAGAGATTCTCGTCAGTCTCCTTTTTAGTGCAGAAGCTTTGATTGGCCCTTAAGCCTTGGCGCTCGGCTATTTTTTTCATACGCTTCTCCATTAGTCCCTTGTGTACGTGTATGACTGTTTCTAGGACCTCTGAAGACTCGAAGAGCGATAGAAGACTGAACTGGGAATTAGGAGATCTTTATTCCACTCTTAAACCAGTAATTTCTTATGTGGCTGGCATTCTTTTCCCCTCTATCCCAACAGAGGATTTATAATAATTCAAACACTCCGTTCTTTTCTTGTATCTAATAGCTTGGCCCTCATAATTACAGAATACTTTGTGATCTGGGAAATACAGGACAGTATGGAAAAGGCTAGAAGTTTGTTTGTTTGTTTTAATTGCTTGTCGTTATTTCTTTGAGACAATGTCTCGTTATGTGTAGCCTTGGCTGGCCTGGAACTCCCTATGCCGATCAAACTGGTCTTGAACTAAAGACAAAGGCCACCGTGCCCAGCTAAAGGCTATGTAATTTAAGGCTGCATCAGTATTGAGTGGTGATAGCAGATTCAAAGCCGGAAACATCCATCTTGACTACTTCTTCCCAGAAGAAATAGTCAACTTCACAGGCGTTCTCTGAGGCAGTGTACTTGCCGCCTCTGTCATCGCCGGCTTGGCAGTAACTCTCTCAGGAAGGAATTGTAGCGGAGGGAGTTTGGCTTCAGGCAGCTTGGTGAACTCCTACTCCATCACCCCTGCCCCACTTTCTGCAAAGTCTCACGTGCTTGCTTGCACCTGGGCTAAAGTTTAAAAAGTAGGATTTTCTTGTCTTTGCTTTTTGTTATGATTAGGAATGGCAGCTTAGGCACAGACCCTTCAGAAACAAACACTATTGTGATTTCAGTTCTTTTGTTGTTTGGGTTTTGTTTTGTTTGATAACGTCTTGTTTTATAGTGGTGGCTAGCCTGGAACTCTCTATGTAGACCAGGCTGTCCTAGAACTCACAAAGAATGCTGGGATTAAAAGCATGTTTTACCACCTAGAGACAAAACATTTTAACACTCAGCTCACAGGTTACTTTGAAAAATGTACTTTGTCCTAGTTTCGTAGGTCTGCCTAGATTTGTGTTACAGCATTTGCCATGAAGTGTTGCGACTACTGGTGGCTAAATGTTTCAGTCTTAGAGGCAAGAGTCAGGCTGTGAGTAGAGCATGTTGCAAATTGTGATAATTGAACGATACTTCAGGGTCCTTAGATGTTGACCATTTTCTGTAATAGCTCTGTCACACTGAGTAGTGTTCTGTCTGTTCAGATGTAATGTTGAGAGGCAACACTATAATAGGCTCAGTGGTAGAGCACTTTCCTAGATTGCGTCCCAATAAACATACAGGAAATCTCTAAGAGGCAGCATATAAATCAGATCTACAAAAATTTCATACAAAGAGGATATTCTAGAGTAGTGGTTCTCAACCTTCCTGATGCTGTGACCCTTTAATACAGTTCCTCATTTTGTGGTGACTCCCAACCTTAAAAATTATTTTTGTTACTACTTCATAATTGTAATTTTTCTACTGTTATGAATCATAATGTAAATGCCTGTGTTTTCTGATGGTCTTAAGTGACCCTTATGAAAGGGTCATTTGACCCCTGAAGGGGTTGAGACACATAGGTTGAAAATTGTTGCTCTAGATAGAGATTAAGAGTTTTGGGGTTGGAGAGGTGGCTCAGAGGTTAAGAACACTGGCTGTTCTTCCAGAAGTCACGAGTTCAATGTCAAGAAACCACATGGTGGCTCACAACCATCTCCATTGAGAATTTTTGGGGATCATGGACATAGTGGTGCACTCCTTTAACCCCAGCACAGAGGCACATGGACCTCTGTGAGTTGAAGGTCAGCCTGGTCTACATAGTGAGATCTTGTCTCAAAACAACAACAAGAAAATCTTAAAGGAGCTGGAGGGATGGCCCAGTGTGCTTGCTGATCTTGCAGAGGACCAAGATTTGATTCACAGAATCCATAGGAATGGTATCTAGACTCTAATTCCAGAGCATCTAGCACCCTCTGCTGGCCGCCAGGCATGCTCACAATGAACTTACATATATATGCAGGAAAACTCACACAATAAAAATAATTTTTTAGAAGGGTCTTTGGGCTAAAGAGAGGGCTCAGTAGTTAAGAGTGATTGGTGTAGCCGTTTGGGTGGTGGTGGCACATGCCTTTGATCCCAGCATTCAGGAGACAGAGGCAGGCTGATCTCTGTGAGTTTGAGGCCAGCCTGGTCTGTAGATCCCGTTCCTGGACAGGCCCCAAAGCTACACAGAGAAACCCTGTCTCAAAAAAACAAACAAAACAAAACAAAGAGTGCTTGGTGTGCAACAATGAGGACTGGAGTTTGGATCCCAGTGTCCATGTAACAACCTAGAGGTCGTCCTGTACCTGGCTGTAACTCTAGCTCCCTGAAGTCATCCTGGGTGGTACAGAGAGCAGAGTACTGCTGGGGCTTTCTGGCTTCCAGCCTAGCCAAGAAAATTAAAGCCTAAGTTCAGGGAGAGACCTTGTTTCCAAGGAATAGATAAAGAGCAGTGGAGGAGCACATCAGACCCTCTTTTGCTCTCCATATTGGTGTACACTTATACAGACATACCTATGCATAAGAAAATAAATAAACGGGGATGGGGAGAACTGACTAAGTGGGCCACCATGGTTGCCACACACCTTCAGAAGAAGGATGGCAAATTCAATGTCACTCTGGACAGCCTAGTTAGAGTTTGAGGCCAGCCAGGGCAATTTAGATAGGGTTTCTCTGGTTATTCTGGAATTTGATGTGTAGACTAGGCTGGCCTTGAACTCAGAGATCCACCTGCCTCTGCCTCCCCATTGCTGAGATTAAAGGCATGTATCACCACTGCCCATGAAAAAAAATTTTCAAGACAGAGATTTTCTGTGTAGCTTTGGAGCTTGTCCTAAATCTAGCTCTTGTAGACCAGGCTGGACTCAAACTCAAGAGATCTACCTGCCTCTGCCTCCTGAGTGCTGGGATTAAAGGTGTGTGTCACCACCTCCCAGCTTAAAAATGTTTTTAGATTTATTTATTAAATTCATGTACACTGGAGTTTTGCCATGGGCATTTGATCTCCTGGAACTGGAGCTGCCATGTGGGTGCTGGGAATTGAACTCGAGTCCTCCTGAAGAGCAGTCAGTGCTCTTAACCACTGAACCGTCACTCCAGTCCCTTTAAAAATTTTTTTAAAGACTTGTTTTGTTCCTAAAATTTTTTTATTCCATGTAATCAGTGTTTTGCAGGTATGTAGGTATGGGTACCACGATGTGCCTTGTGCTTTCCTAGGCCAGAAGTATGTTAATATGCAAATGGATACCTGTGTGTTATACATAAACCTAGTGAGCAAGAAAAGGTATTAATGGGATAGGAGGTGTAGCTGGAAAGGTCAACAGTAGCCTGGAGGGGTCATCTTGTGGGCAAGGAATGCAAGAGTTGACTAAAATGTGCTTTAAGAATTTGGTTGCGGCCGGGCAGTGGTGGGGCACGCCTTTAATCCCAGCACTCAGGAGGCAGAGGCAGGCAGATCTCTGTGAGTTTGAGGCCAGGCTGGACCGATAGCCTCCAAAACAATACAGAGAAACCCTGTCTGGTTAAAAAAAAAAAAAAAGAATTTGGTTGCTGGGCTGGAGAGATGGCTCAGAGGTTAAGAGCACTGACTGCTCTACCAGAGGTCCTGAGTTCAAGTCCCAGCAACCACATGGTGGCTCACAACCATCTATAATTCAATCTGGTGCCTTCTTCTGGCATGTATTTGTAATAAATAAATAACAATCTTTAAAAAAAAAGAATTTGGTTGCTGGCACTGCTCTTCCAGAGGACCCAGGTTCAATTCCTAGCACCCACATGACAGCTTCCAACTGTTTGTAACCCCAATTCCAGAGGATCTAATACCCTCACTGACATACATACAAGCAAAAACACCAATGCACATGAAATAAAAAGAAAAGAAAAGAATTTGGTTTCCGGAGCTGCAGAGATGGCTCTATGTTTTGTCACATGGCTCAAGGCTCCTTACCTCATTTTCTGCATGCCCTGCTTGCTCTGTGGTTGACTGGCGTCTCTCTCAACCCTGCTCTTCCTCATCTGAGTCCTCAGTTTGATTGTTCAACCTAACCTTACCTGCCTGGCTATTGGTCATACGGCTTTTATTATTAACCAATGAGAGGAATACATATTTACACCTATGAGAAGATCATCCAGTAGCAGAAACTGTCTTGAAAACCAAAACAAACAAGAGCAGAATTTGGCTTCTGGGCTGAGTGATTACAAGTACTTGCTGCTCTTCCTGAGGGCGAGTGTGGTGCCAGCACCCTTGTCAGGCGGTTGTGAACGGACTGTAACTCTATCCCCATGGAGTCCAGCACCCTTGTCAGGCGGTTGTGAACGGACTGTAACTCTATCCCCATGGAGTCCAGCACCCTCTCAGTTGTGAACTGACCCCATGGAGTCCAACACCCTCTCAGGCCACCAGATGTAACATACATACACATATACATGGGCTGGAGAGATGGCTCAGAGGTTAAGAATACTGGCTAGTCTTCCAGAGGTCCTGAGTTCAATTCCCAGCAACCACATGGTGGCTCACAACGATTTATAATGAAATCTGGTGTGTATGTCAGAACACTGTATGCATAATAAATAAATAAATAAATCTTTAAAAAACCAAAAAACATATACACATACATAAAAATTTTTTAAATGATTGTGATTTCTCCCTTGCTATGAAATAATACACAGCATATTAGCTGGGAGACAATGAAAAGGACCCAGTAAAAATACAGTCCCTCTTCCACAGTAGAAAGGAACCCGGGGGATTGTAAGAAATGCTCTGTGTGGCTTAGTAGCTCAGTGATAGTGTTTCCAGAGGACACAGGGTTCATTTTTCAGGTTCTCAGTCTTACAGATAAGAGTTTCAAAGGGAAGAAAAAAGAAAAGACCATTTTAATAGAGTTTGAAAGAGGAAAACAACAGAATGGACAAAGCTGGAGGTCTTGACAGTTGGTAGGAAGGATATGAAAAACAAGTTCTGTTGTAGAGGCAGATGCTACAACTTAAAGGACAAGGTACCCACTGGAGAACTTGTGGCAGGAGCCCTTGTTCCCTGTAGTTAAAAAATTATTTTCATTTACTTGTGTCTGTGCGAGCTTATGTATATCACATTTGTGTTCACAGAGGCCAGGAATATCAGACCCCTTAGAACATTGGTTTTCAACCATCCTAATGCTGTGACCCTTTAATATAAGTTCTTCAAGTTGTGGTGACCCCCAACCATTAAATTATTTTTGTTGCTACTTCATAACTGCAATTTTGCTACTGTTATGAATCATAATGTAAATCCCTGATATGCAGGATATCTGATATGTGACCCCTGGGTTGTTTGACCCCTCAAAGGAGTCATGACCCAGACTTGAAGGTTGAGAATCACCACATTAGAACTAAAGTTACAGGTGGCTGTGAGCCACGTGATGTGGGTGTTGGGAGTTGAACTCCGGAGCCTCAAAGTAAGCAAACTTAACACTGAGCTGTCTCTCCAGCTCCTCCCTGTTCCTTTTTTGTACCTTTTTTTTTTTTTTTTGGTTTCGAGACAGAGTTTCTCTGTGGCTTTGGAGGCTGTCCTGGAACTGGCTCTTGTAGACCAGGCTGGTCTCGAACTCACAGAGATCCGCCTGCCTCTACCTCCTGAGTGCTGGGATTAAAGGTGTGCACCACCAACACCTGGCTTTTTTTTTTGTACCTTTAATTTTATGTGTATGGACATTTTGACTGCATGTATATCTGCGAATTATGTGTGTCCCTGGGGACTGTGGAGGCTACGATCACTTGGAACTGGAGTTATAGGTAGTTCTGAGCTGTTTCAAGTGGGTGCTGGAAGCCAAACTTAGATCCTTTGGAAGAGTAGTTAGTGTTCTTAAACACTGAACCACACCCAGCACTTCCTTGTTAGTTTTTTTTTTTTTTTTTTTTTTTTTGAGACAGGGTTTCCCTGTGGCTTTGGAGGCTGTCCTGGAACTTGCTTGGTAGACCAGGCTGGTCTCGAACTCACAGTGATCCGCCTGCCTCTGCCTCCCGAGTGCTGGGATTAAAGGTGTGAGCCACCAACGCCCGGCTTCTTGTTTGTTTTTTATTAACTCTTTTTTTTTTTTAAGATTTATTTATCATGTATAGTGTTCTGCCTGCATGTATGCCTGCAGGCCAGAAGAGGGCACCAGATCTCATTACAGATGGCTGTGAGCCACCATGTGGTTGCTGGGAATTGAACTCAGGACCTCTGGAAGAGCAGCCAGTGCTCTTAACCTCTTAGCCATCTCTCCAGCCCCGAAGCTGTTCTGTTTTGAGTTAGTGGAAAGCCTGTGTCAATGATTCATTTTTTAACTTTGCAGTTAGTCACAGCCTGCAGATCTTTAACTAAAATGATTTACAAACCTGGAGATTTCCACTATGTTTGTAACCTACTTCCTTCTGTTTTTATGTATATGTGTTAGGGATTGAAACCAAGGCATATGCTTCTGGGGCAATGGCACTGTCTTTGAAGTACATATTAGCCTTCTTTCTTTCCATTTTGAAGCAGTTCTTGGTATGTTCTCATTCTAGCCCAGGCTGCCTTTGGAATTTCCCATTTTTTCTATTTGTTTATGTAATGTAAATATGTGGGTGTGCAAGGTCAGCTTGCTTGCTTTTAAAAAATGTTAAATGCCTGTCTGCCAGGGTATTATCAACAGTTGATCATGACATTTCTCTTTAGGGTAGTTTACATATTGCTATTCCTGTCTCTAATGATACCTGGCAAGCAGATGACATCCTGCCTAGTCTCCCCTTATCACTGGGATTCTACTTAGTATCTGTGAAGCCTTGGGTATAACACCCAGACAGAGAAAGTCTCTCTCAACTGGAGGGGTCTGCACACATCCGACTTTCATGGGGTTTGTGGGGTGTGAAGTCAGTAATGCTGAGCCAGAAGAGGCCAAGCTAGATAGTTTAATGGGAGTAGAGCAGGGAGGGCCCCCAGAGGCATACAGAAATTTAGGGAAGTGATGAGTGTTCATAATCTTGACTGTGGTGCTGGTTTCATGGGTATCAACTTACCAAAATTAATATTTTAAACATACAACTTATTATATGCCAATTATATTAAAATAACGTTAATTCAAAGGAAAAAATCCATAGGTGCTGGGGAGATAGTTCAGTTGGTAACATACCTGCCATACTAGTATGAAGAACGGAGCTCTGTCTGTAATACCCATGTAAACAGCTGGTGGTATCAGGGTGAGACTATAATCCCAACACTAGGAAGAGCACAGTAGGATCCCTATCCCTAAAGGGCTTGTGGCCTTGGCCTCCAAATGCATGTAAGCTGAGGCAACACTCACCCTCCTCCAGCATCCCGATGTAACTGTCATTCCCACTGTTAAAGTACAAACTTACTTTTTTTTTTTTTTTTTGGTTTTTCGAGACAGGGTTTCTCTGTAATGCTTTGGAGGCTGTCCTGGAACTGGCTCTGTAGACCAGGCTGGCTTCCAACTCACAGAGATCCGCCTGTCTCTGCCTCCGGAGTTCTGGGATTAAAGGTGTGGCACCACCAACACCTGACGCTTAGCCACTTTTAAAAACATTTTTTTTTCTTTTGAGGTAGGGACTCATGTAGTCTAAACTGGCCTTGAACTCACTAACCAACCAATAATCTTGAGCTCCAGACCTTCCTGGTTCTTCCCTCCCTCAGCAAGTGCTAGTAGGGTTATAGGCATGTGCTACCATTCTGGCCAAAGCTTTATCTCACACCGTCAAATCCTATCTAGTAATTGAGAGCTGCATGGACACTGCTTAAAGATTATGAGTAGATGATTTTTTTCATTTTGTGACTATGGCTTTCTCTCGATGGGAGTGATGGATCTTAAAGTCACACAGCAAGTAGAGGCAAGAATGTCTGTTGGTGGCTGGGTGTAAGCCAGTGCTTTGAGTTCCTTGAGCTTTGACAATTAAGGAGAAACTCAAAACATACTATATAAAAATTAACTACAGGTACATGACTTCCTCCCCTAATAGCCTAATACAACTGCCACTCTGTTAACTAATGCCTTTACCTGCTGAGACATTGTGATAGCCCTTTTTGTTTTTGAGACAGGGTTTCATATAGCCAGGCTGACCTTGAATTTCTGGTCCTCTTGGCTCTATGAGCCAGTGTCTTGCTTGCATGGTGCTGAGGGTTGGACCCAGGGCTTCATGCGTGCTAGGCAGGTACTCTACCGCGGACACGCAGGGCTTATGTCTACCCCCCAGTCCAGGGTCACTCCAAACCAAAGAAGACAAGTTACAACTTTGCAACAGGTTTTTATTTTTGCTTTGTATCTATTACAGTGTTTGAAACCTAAAGAAATACATTTTCTCTTCAAATTTGGATGTGTATATAAATATCATTTGTCTGGACTCAGCACACTCAATGCCATGGTTTCTTGGCCTATTTCTGCTCTGAAATCAAGCTTTGTCTACCCAGGGGCCCTGAGAACATGAAAAAATAGAGTTTACAGTTCTTAGAAAAATAAAAGCAAATGAATTTGGAAAGCAAAACCTGTGAGGATTAAATTCAGCTTTCTAGGGTTCTTACCTGGAAACCCAAGCTGTCCTTGGGCGGATGTTCTGTCTGCTGGGTAGCTGAGACCTCATACCCACTTCATTTATTTAATAGGTCAAAAAAAGGCATTTCCCAAAAAAGCTGGCTAAAAAAAGCCGACACCCACCTCCAGCTTCTGAAGGTTCACGGTGTAAATCTTTGACATAGTTTGCAGGCAGTCTCAGGAGCTGAGTTGAGACTTCCTTTCCAGCTCCCTGCACATGGTATATTACTTTCTTTCTCTAAACCTAAACATTAAAACCAGACCCCCAGGAGTGCAGGACTGGTGGGCATCATTGACTTGTGCTAGTGTGAGCATCAGAAATCAGGCTGGCCTAGGAACAAGTAGGTAAGCCCAAGCCCTTGGAGACACATCACACAAGCTTTTCCCCTTGGTGTTCAGGTTCCCCAAGTTAAGGCTGCTTTTCTCACAGCCAGCTTTGGTCCTGCATGTAGTTCAGGCTTCAAACAAGATGCTTTCTCAAAAAGAAAATAACTTTTCATTCTGATTCTGTTGGAGTTGATCTCAAATTCTTCCATTGCCATGCATGTCTTATTCTGGGGTGGGACTCGGGAAAACTAGATGGTGCATCGGAACCAGTTATGAAGGCCTTTGGCCAAAGAGCAGCTAGTGTCCACCACATGGATCCTTAGAGGGGCAAATTCTCAGTTCATTGGCTTAACAAAAGAATACAAAAGGTAAAACGGAAAAAATACTGGATGAGGTTGGTCTAGAATGTGCCAGAAGTCTGTCTCTTATAGATATGCAGGAAGTGCCACTTGGAACTGCTGCTATTGCTCAGAATCTGCCATCGTTCAGTGCACCCTTCCCCAGCCTGCTAGGGAAGCTTGCCATCATCCTGTCCCCTCTTGGGTCTGCAGGGACCCGGAGAAGCTGGCTTTGTCCCTTCAAGAAGTTAGAGCCTGAAGAAATAGCCAAGAGGATGGACCAGAGTGAGTGAACCTGGGGGAGAAGGGATGAGGTCTGCAGGAGGGCAGAAGCCTTCAGAGGGGGCATGTAGAGCGCAGACAGAGGGTGACCGGCTAGGTTTCCAGGCAGACAGAGTAGACCACAGTTCCTCCACGCAGGAAGTCTGTCTTTTTACTGGATTGGTTTCAGAGAAGTAGAAAGTTCCTGTGGTTAGCTTCAGCACACCTGGGAGATGACTTCCAGACAGAAGGGAGTAGATACAAGGTCCCAGGGAAACACCAAAGCTCTTTAAAAGGTCAACACCTACTTCGTGGGAAGTGTGTATGTTCACAGACCCAAATAACAATGGTGCCAAACAGGATGGAACTCATATGGTTACTAAAAGGCTGCAGTCAACACCAAGGCTTATTAGTCACTTGGGAGAGCTGGAGACTGAAGACAGTGTCTAGGACAGACCACTCTGTCAGTCACTAAAGAGGCTTTCAGTGTGCAACGCCTAGAGCAGCTAGGTAACCAACCTCTTCCATCTGGTACTGGATGCATGTCTGAAGCCAAAGAGATACTGGCGAAAGGATGGGGAAACAGGACATTATATCTCATACTGAGAATATGGCTCCAGTGCCAGGGGCTTATTATTAACTGTTGCTTGAGATGTGCAGAGTAGCTCCCACTACAGTGTTCTGCTCTTCAGACAGGGGTGGTGATGGCAAGTCCTGGAGGGCTTTTCTTTGAACTAGGAGCAGAGTTTGTAGTAAAGCTGTAGACCAGGTTAAAAAAAAAAAAAAAAAAGGCCCTGCCCATTGCTTTCCCAGAAGGCCAGGGGGTGAATAAGTAGTATTTGATCCTCCAATGTTGGTCAAAGCTCTCAGTATCAACTGCCAGCCCCACTACTTTTCTTAGGAATAGGGCCTCCAAACTAAGAGATGGCAAACAGAAGGCCAGAGCCAAGAGCAAGAACCTGAACTTTAGATCTGCAAGCGTGGGAGATCTGTGGGCACAGGAGTAAGAAGGCTGATTCTGGAGAAAGGAAAGTGTGGATGAGGACAGGACACCTCTGCTTCACCACAGTGGGTACTGGGCTGCTAGCTCCGCTGCTCATTTATACCTAGTTGACAATGCACCCCACTCCCCTCCCCAGAGCTCAGTTTTAGTATGATGTGTAACCCACTAAAACACAAGCAAGCCTCTGAGGCATTGAGCTAGCTTTACTCAGAGAAAGAAAAGGTGTCTGTGTAGCTGTCACAAGAAAGGGAAAATCCGAGTCGGGTACAAGAACCCTTGGAAGGGGATTCCAACAGCTCTCACCAAAGTATCCAGGTGGCCAAGGTTCTCTGATAACAGCAGAGGCAGCTGTGTCATGACTTATGTGGGTAACAGGGACTGATAACTCAGTTAGAGAAGGCTGGTTGCTTTCTGCTCAGAAGCAAGGACCAGAGCAGCAGACTTCATTAGGCCCTCAGGCTCTCTTTGCTCCTCTCAGGTACCAGGACAATCAGCCCAGGCTGATTTACTTCATAAAGGCTCCAGAGGTGAGAGTTGGTCCCAAGTGGTGACCCAGAATCCAAGCAGAGAAGAAAAGGACCAAGTCCAGCCCTTTGAACAGGAAGCTTTACATCTCTTTCTGGTCTTCCTCACAGTATCCCACTCACAGACGGTTTGTCCTCCTAAGACCAATTAAGACTGACCTACTTAAAATATAGAATATAAAAAAAAATACAGAACTTTTTGATATTCTCTCCTTTGGAAGTAAAATATACATGATCCAACTATGGCAGAAGGAAGAAGAAAGGCCAAAGGCAGGGATTCCTGACTATCCCAATACACGACCCTAACTCCAACCTCCTCTGCAACTTATGGGTCATCAGAGCAAGGACTTTCTCCTCAGGAGAAGGAAGGACCACAGCCCCCCATCTCAAGCTCAGGAGAAAACACAGCCACCTCAGAGGTTCATTCAACTCTGAGGTGAAATTTCAAGTAAACGAATGAAGTTGGGTCGCACCATGTGGGAGGTGGGTAGGATACAGGGTCAGTAGCTACACGGGGGAAGCCCTGTGCTCCTCCTCTCCACTCCCACTGGTCTATTTGTTCCAGGAGAGTGAGTGGGGAGGACCTCTGTCTTGTGGGGCCTCCTTATTAGCCTCTATTTCCAGACAATGCTGGCAGCTGGGCTCCTAAAACCAGCTTTTGGGAAGAGCAACCTTAATACAAGAAAAATGTGCAAAAGAAAAAATTAAATAACCAATCCAAGCATACAAGATCAATATGCGGTCAGAGCAAGAACACTTTGTTTTGGACTTCTCCCCTCCCCTCCCACCTCCCACCTCTGGAATATTCCATCTGCTCAAGTACCCAAGATAAGAGTTACACACATCAGGGCAGAGGACTGGGATGGATGAAGCAAGAATAATGGGAAGGAAGTCACCACTAAAGAAAATAAAAGAAAAAAAATTTAAAGGTGCAAATCGATTACCTCAGTCCTCCTTTGTCTACCCCTGGGCTCCTGGGTTAAAGACATGTGTGCAGCCAAAATAAAGTGTAAGGAAGAAAAACCCACACGTCCCCTTCTTGTCACAAAACCCAGTGTGAGCCTCAGATGGTTCTGTCTGTCCAGAGGGTGCTCCCTCCAGGGAAGGGGATGAGCAGGTCAAGAGCACAGTCTCCAGGGCAGCAGGTGTATGGTGGCTGCTGGTGGGATGGCTGTCTCCCTGCCCACCAGAGGGCTGCTCTTCTGCTGGGTGGTGGTGCTTCCCCTGCCCTCCCCTCCCCGGAAGCAGACATTATAGCTGGAAGCCCTCCATGGGGGCCTCAGGCTGTTGGAAGATGAATTGCTGTTGTGTTTCATCCACCTGAGGAGCCAGGCTGCTGTCGTCATCTTCTACGCCAAAGTAGTGCTCAATGAGGTCAAAGGCTTTCTGGTAGATTTCCTGGTTCTCGTGGCTCTGGAGAAACTCAATTTTATCTAAGCCTAAGGTAGCAAGAAGAAACACATGTCCTTTTCTGTTTCCAAGGAACAAATTTCCAAATAAAAATCGTAAGATATCATTCCTTGACCTGAAAAAGGAGTCAAGGTCTCTTCCCTAAATTATCGAATTTCAAAAGAAATCAAAATGTCAGCTAAGTAAGTAGAGGCTCTAGAAAGCTAGAACAGCCGGGCGGTGGTGGCGCACGCCTTTAATCCCAGCACTCGGGAGGCAGAGGCAGGCGGATCTCTGTGAGTTCGAGGCCAGGCTGGACCGACAGCCTCCAAAACAATACAGAGAAAGCCTGTCTCGTAAAAACCAAAAAAAAAAAAAAAAAGAGAAAGCTAGAACAACAGCTCAGTTGTAAAGTGTTTGCCTCGAAAGCACAAGTTTGCACCCCAGAACCCGAGGCCAAAAAAGGTGGTGGGCACTTACAACCCTAGCAAGGGCATGGAGGTTAGTGTTGGGAAAAACTGCCTGGGCTTTTTGGTTGGCTTGTCAGCAGGGCTTCCTTAGTGAGCCCTAGATCTGAGGGAGCAGTCTGACCTCAAAAACAAAAACACCAAGGTGTCTAGCTCTTGAGGTTAAACCTCTGGACTATACAACATGCACACACATGCACACACACACAAAATAGAGGTTGAAATCTTGTTTTAAGCTAACTCTAGGCAAAACATGAGTTGTGTCTTCTGAGATGGGTTTCTCCATGTAGCCTTGGCTGTCTTGGAACTTGCTCTATAGACCAGGCTGGCCTTGAACTCAGAGATCCACCTGCCTCTGCCTCTTAAGAGCTGTGAGTAAAGGTGTGCACCATCACTGTCTGGCTGCAATCCAGTATTTTTACAGGAGACAGTTTGTTGCCTTTTACCTCCTGGTAACGGTATTAAATTCTGGACTGTTCCTCCTTGTATCTGTACCATACCTACTTTTGAGATGGGTAGAACCTGTGAGAGTAACACTGACCTATTGCTCCTTAGAGGGAGAAGGAACTGGTGGGACCAGAAAACTTGGATACTAATTAGTTCTCAATACCTGTCTAGTCAGTACATGTCAGTTACTCCCAAGGGAAAGGTCTGTAACCCCATACTTGGTATAACTTGGCTGGAACAGGAACTCATCACTGGTTTAGAAGCACAGACTTGAGGGCTGGTAAGATGACTCAATGGGTAAAGGTGTTTGCTGCCAACTCTGACAATCCTTACAACCCACATGGTGGAAAGTGAGAACTGACTCCTGCAGGTCGTCCTCTGACCCCCATACCCACCTGTGTCATATGTGTGCTCACACTCAAACATGTATACATACACAAATGAGTGGATAAATAAATGTAGTGAACAATAAAAAATAAACAGACTCAGTTTCATAAAATGTGTGGATGTGCTCTAGCTCTTCCCCACTTCAGACATGTGAGGTCAGGGAAAGAACTCACCATAGGCTTCCTCAATGAGGCCACAGTAGGGATTGACCCCTGAGCCACTACGCTTGCCCTCCTGCTCTCCAAGTCGCAGGATGTTCTCTAGTCCATTGAGGGCTACTTGCACAATCTTTGAATCCATTACAGTCAGCAAGTCACACAGGGGTTTGATGCAGCCCAGTGACACCAGGTACCTATGAACCAGAGATGCAGTAAGCTCCAAATTAATGCAGATCAAGTAAAGTGCTAGGCAGGTGCTTTGCCCTGTGAGTCTCCCTCATACAAACCAATATTCTCAACAATGCAAGTCTCCCTCATACAAACCAATATTCTCAACAATGCACCCTTTCTGAGTCTTGATAATCACCCATCCTTCACCCCAATCTCTCTACCCTCACTCTGCCCCTGATCTATTCCCTAATGAACACATCAGGTTCCTAACATCACCTCAGCCACAATATTATCACTTTAGAGGCATTAAGAAATTCTTCAGGATCCTTATTTCTGAGTACAAACTCTATTTATGTTAATACAGCCTGTCTACAATCTGGCTCCTACCTCTTTAGCTCTACTCAAAATATTCCTTTCCAGGGCTAGAGAGATAGCTCAGAAGTTAGGAGCACTGACTGTTCTTCCAGAGGTCCTGAGTTCAATTCCCAGCAACCACAAGGTTGCTCACAACCATCTATGACATATGATGCCCTCTTCTGGTGTGTAGGAATACATGCAGGTAGAAGACTTCATAAATAAAATTTTAAAATAAATTCCTTTCCAAGGTTATTAAATTGTAGTCAAATTTGTGAAGATCTCCAGATCTCTGATTCTTTTTTTTTTAGATTTATTTATTTATTATGTATACAACATTCTGCCCCCACATATACCTGCACCAGAAGAGGGCACCAGATTTCATTATAGATGGCTGTGAGCCACCATGTGGTTGCTGGGAATTGAACTCAGGACCTCTGGAAGAGCAATCAGTGCTCTTAACCACTGAGCCATCTCTCCAGCCCCAGATCTCTGATTTTTTAAAAAAGATTTATTTATTTATTATGCATACTGTGTTCTGGCATGCATGCCAGAAGAGGGTATGAGATCTCAATACAGATGGCTGTGTGCTACCATGTGGTTGCTGGGAATTGAACTCAGGATCTCTGGAAGACCGGCCAGTGCTCTTAATCTTTGAGCCATCTCTCCAGCCCCAGATCTCTGATTCTTAAACCTTTCATATATTGTTTTCTTATCTAACAGGCACACTATATAATGATGTATTTAATCCCCCTGAGCCCTTTTTTAAACCTGGTTTCTCTGTGTAGTCCTTGCTAGCCTGGATTTACTTTGTAGATCATGATGTCCCTAATTCACAGAAATCTGCCTGTCTCTGCCTCCAGAGATCCTAGACTTAAGTTGTATACCAATATGTCCAGCTTATATTTTCCTTTTCATGTTTAACTTGATGGCTCTTCCTTCCTCCTGAGACTTTGTGTGTAGACTATATTCCCTTCAGTAGGTTATAATTACAGGGAAAGCACTTAATCACTTTCTACTATTCCTCATATGGTTTAGATGATGTAAACTAGAATAAAGGAGAATATGTACAAACTGGGTATGGAGACATGTACCTATAATCCCAGAGAGAGAGGGAGAGGAGGGGGGAGGGAGGGAGAGAGGGAGAGAGAGAGAGGGAGAGAGAGAGAGAGAGAGAGAGAGAGGGAGAGAGAGAGGGAGAGAGAGAGGGAGAGGGAGAGGGAGGGAGGGAGAGAGAGAGAGAGAGAGAGAGAGAGAGAGAGAGAGAGAGAGAGAGAGAGGGATGGAGGGAGAGAGAGAGAGAGAGAGAGAGAGAGAGAGAGAGAGAGAGAGAGAGAGAGAGAGAGAGAGAGAGAGAGAGAGAGAGAGAGAGAGAGAGAGAGAGAGAGAGAGAGAGAGAGAGTAGTCCCAGCACTTGGGAGGGAGAGGTAGAATAGGTCAGACTGCCTCAAGACTCTGTCTTCAGGAAAACAACCATTATCAACAACACAGTAATCCATTCCAGAGTCTAGTATAATTTAGCAGCTTACCAGTAAAACCTTATTACAGTTAGAGTACGGCATATCTTAGACCAAGAGCCATTTAGAATTATCTGAAAACCATGAACATATCACTTAAGATATTGGGAAAGAAATCATACCTGATCTGCTCAGGGGTTCCTCCTGATGTAGCATTGGTGATGGCCCAGGCTGCTTCTTTCCTTGTACGGAACTCTGCTTTCTGAAGGATTTCGATTAACACAGGGAAGATATTTGCATCTATGACAGCCTGAAAGAGAAATGAGGATGGAGGATGGAGGCAGAAAGACACTTTAAGGAAAAAAAAGAAGGGTCAGGTGTGGTGACATGCTTGTGTAATCCCAATGCTTGCATGGTGGAGGCAGGAAGTCAGGAATTCAAAGTCATTTGAGACTAGCCTGGGCTCCATTAGATATTTGGGAGGCAGAGGTAAGATAGTCTCAGAGGAAAAGATGAAGAAAAAGCAAACCTAGTACAAAAACCACAATTTTGACTTCTCCCTGATAACCCACCTGAAAGTTCTCCTTTGGTCTTACCAGAGATTTGACAAGGTGTGGGGAACTTAGCTTCCGTTATGTAGAGCATTTCACCAGCTGGTCATGCTGACCCCAATTATTCTGGTGGTGCTGGGCACTGAATCCATGCCTCGCACACATTAGGCGAACATTCTATACTCAAGCTAAACTGCTAATCCTTTGCCTTGGCTCCAATTTCTAAAGGGAAACAAATGCTTTTTTGGAAACCAAATCTACCTGTATTTGAGCCCTATTGCCAGCAGTGATGTTTGAAATGGTCCAGCAAGCTTCCTTCCGGATTGACTCCTTAGAGCTGCTTAGCAGGTGGAGGAGGCAAGGGAGGGCTGAACAGTTAAGAATGACCTGGACAAAAAGCACAAGAAATACAACAAAATTAGTTATTTTGAGTTATTTAAGTTAAAAATGGATTTGCATCAAGAACCATAAGCAGTGCAAAACAAACCCACAGTATAGGAGAAGATACTTGCAAAACACATACTGGTAAGCATTAATATCCAGAGTATATAAAGAACTACTAGTATCACAAAACACCCGAAGCAACCCAACTAAAAATGAGTAAAGGGCTTAAAAAGACATTTCTTCAAAAAAAAGACATACAAACTGTCAATTAGCACACAAAATAGACTCAACATCACTAAACAATAGAGAAACAAAAATCAAACCATGGGATAGCACTTCACACTCATTAGGATGGCTGTCACAAAAAATATCAGCAAATGAGATATTCTGCAAAGAGAGGGAGAATCTGGTGCTAGTAGAGACAGAAAATGACATACTAGCTAAACTAGTATAAGTTACCATGTTATCTGATTTATTTTGCAGAGACTTAGTAGCTATGTATAATCAGGGTCCATAGCAGCATTACCCACAATAGTTAAGAAGTAAAACAATGTAAATATGCTCAAGATGGTTGGGCGTTGGTGGCACATGCCTTTAATCCCAGCACTCAGGAGGCAGAGGCAGAGAAAGGCAGAACTCTGTGATTTCGAGGCCAGCCTGGTCTACAGAGCAAGTTCCAGGACAGGTTCCAAAGCTACATAGAAAAACCTTGTCTCAGAAAACACAAGCAAAAGCAAAAACAAAAAAACCCCAATGTGCTCAAGATGGATGAAGGGGATTTTAAAAATACAGTATACACAAACACTGAACTGTCATTCAGCCTTAAAAGGGTAATGACACATGCTACAACATAGATGAACCTTGAAGACATTATGCTAACTAAGACAGATGTAAGGGACACATATTGTGTGATTCCACTTATAATGAAGTGTCTATAGCAGTCCAACAAAATATAACTACATCAACAGCAACAGAAACTAGAGCACATACTAACTCATGGCGTTTAAGCCACATACTTGTCACTCAAGAAATCAAAAAGGAAACCAGCAGAGTTCTAACTTCTGAACAAGGGAAACTTAATGTGCCCTCACTGTAGGAGGGATCACTCTTTTTTACATATACAGTGTTCTGCCTACATGCCAGAAGAGGGCACCAGACTGAATTATAGATGGCTGTGAGCCACCATGTGGTTGCTGGGAATTGAACTCAGGACCTCTGGAAGAGCAGTCAGTGCTCTTAACCTCTGAGCTGTCTCTCCAGCCCTTGATTCTTTTTTGAAATAGGGTTTCATGTAGTTGAGGATGGCCTTGAACTAGATGACCCTTCTGCCTCTAAACTCTAAGAGCTAGAATTACAGGTGTTTGCCACACATGGCTCAAAAATTACTCTGAGGTTAACACAAGGTGATGTCTATGGGATCCTAAAGGCTAGAAAGTATTAGATGAGCTTTCTAGTATCTCAAAAGGATCACAGATCACACGTAACTCCTCATAATGTCCCTGTAAATTCAGTCATTCCATTTAGCTTTCTTTTCACAAGTACCAACTGGATGAATTTTTTCTAATTTGTTTAAGAGAAGAAGAAACTCTGATCATACGGAAAATGACAGTGCTAAAACTGTATTTTTAAAAAGCCAATTCTCTGCTAGACAATGCAGCCTTCCATTACAGAGGAAGGTAGCTCTCCTTACTTGTTCTCCCACAGCTGGCCTGAGTTAAAAGATCCTATCCCCCCTCTTCTTTCTTACCTGGGTCTGGATGTCATCCCCAGTGACAATGTTACCCACAGCTCTCAAGGCAGGAGATGCCACTTTGTAATCATTGTGCCTAAAGAGGAAGAACAGCTCATCAGTAGTGAAGCAACACATCATATTCAGCCCCGCTGAAAACCAAGGCTGGCAGGCAGCATTACAATCTGCTGTTCATAGCTTTTCTATTTTGTTTTATAACTGCTCACTCTGCAGCCTAAGCTGTCTTTGAATTTGTGATTCTTCTGCTTCAGCTTCCAAATGTTACAGGCACACACCACCATGTCCAGCTTAGGATGGAGCTCAAACTTTGAACTTGGTGAAGCTAAGGAAACTTTAACCCTCTTTTTTTTTTTTGGTTTTTACGAGACAGGGTTTCTCTGTATTGTTTTGGAGGCTGTTTGGAGCCCAGCCTCGAACTCACAGAGATCTGCCTGCCTCTGCCTCCCGAGTGCTGGGACTAAAGGCGTGCGCCACCACCGCTCGGCAACTTTAACCCTCTTAAACTGAAGCAACTCACATCAGAAGTTCTACCAATCTCCGGCAGACTCCAGAGTCTATGACTGCCTGGATCTTCTCATTGGGGCCATCAGACAGGTAAGAGAGGGCCCAGCAAGCATCTGCCAGCAAGTCTGAGTCACTACTGAAGAGTAGGCGAGACAATACGGGCAAACAAGGAGAAACCTGTTGGAAGCAAAGTGAGGAGGACTGATACAGGGCTACATCAGTGCTACCAACCTATCATTGCCACCCATTCCCAACATGTAACGTTAGAGCCTGGGAATGTCCCACCTTTTCACTCTCCTACCAAGATACACAAGATCGCCTACTACACCGACAATTGTCTTTTAGTTTCACATGATTGGAGAATCTCAGGGATCTTCCCAAAACTTAAAAAGACTTCCTATAATGGAATATGGTATCACTTATGGCTAGTAAGTAGCTCTCACCTTTGCAAATTCTGGAGGTGGGTTCTTGCCTCGGCAGAGGTTTGACAGGGCCCAGACTGCATTCCTTGTCATTGTCAGTCGTGTGGACTTAGTAAGGAGTCTGGAGGAAATAGCAAAGTCATAATCTGAGCACTGATGTTCTAACACAGGGCTGTTACCAACACACCCTAGAGGCAAACCCAGAACCCTAAGACTCTTCTGTCTTGAAACTAGCTCTGTAAACCAGGCTGGCCTAGAACTCAGAGATCTGCCTGTTTCTACTTCTTGAGTGCTGGGATTAAAGTCATGTGCCACCACTGCCTGGTCCAGAGTCTTACTATCTTAAGGTATCAAGCAAGCTGCCCTCAGAATGTACTGTACCCTACAGATGCCCCAGGCACAAACGATCATAATAATTACTCACGTTAACAAAGGATTAAGGATCGAACAATTCAGGACGTAATCTCTGCAAACCGAACTGTCTCCAGCTATGTTTCCCAGAGCCCAGACTGCCTGAAAAGGGAGGATGGAACCGTTACTCACAGAGCCTGGTAGCTTCTGTGACTACTGATTATTGTTGTTTTATTTTTGGTTCTTCTTCTTTTTGGTTTGTTGAGACAGGATTTCTATGTGTAGCCCTGGCTGTCCTGGAACTAGCTCTGTAGACCAGGCTGGCCTCAAACTCAGAAATCCACCTGCCTCTGCCTCCCAAGTGCTGGGATTAAGGCGTGCACCATCATTGCCCAGTTATTCAAGTGTTTTCATAATCTACCCTCCAAAGCAAGACCCCTCCCTATGTTATAGAGAAGTGTGGTCCAAGTTCTTAGCCTCTAACTGTACTTGTCCATGCTAGGCTACCCATCCAAAGACTACCTAGCTGCTCCCTTCTGATTAACATCACTACAAAGACTGAGGTGGTTCCAATGGGGCTCTGTAAGTAACAAGTGATACTTTTTTAAAAAAGATTTATTTATTTATTATGAATACAACATCTTGCCTCCATGTATGTCTGCAAGCCAGAAGAGGGCACCAGATCTCATTACGAGAGGGTTGTGAGCCACCATGTGGTTGCTGGGAATTGAACTCAGAACCTCTGGAAGAGCAGCCAGTGTTCTTAACCTCTGAGCCATCTCTCCAGCCCAACAAGTGATACTTTTACAACTAACAAAATTCCAAGACCTGTAAGAAAACCATTTGAAGGACTGGGATAAAACCCCCAAACACATTTCCTTTTTTTTTTTTTTTTTTTTGCTTTCGCTTTTTGAGTTTGAAACCTTAGCTGTCCTCCAACTTAAGACATCTGATTGCCTCCGTCTCCCCAGTGCTGGGATTAAAAGCATGTGCCATTGAGCCTGCCCTAAATATAAATTTCTACTATATTGTCTGTACCATCAAAAATTTAATCAGCTCCAGCATTACCTGTTCTTGTACATCTTCAAAGTCAGAGTTAAGCAGCTCTATAAAAATGGGGACAGCTCCTGCTTCAATGACGATTTTGGTCTGCTGAGAAGTTCCAGAGGCAATGTTTGTCAGAGCCCAAGCAGCTTCAAACTGGAAGTGAGATTAGGCCACAAATGAGAGGTCATTTTAGACCCAGTAATCAGATCTACCATCTGTCTTAAAACAGCAAAGCACTAGCACATAAAGAAACTAAAACCAGCCGGGCGTTGGTGGCACACGCATGCCTTTAATCCCAGCACTCAGGAGGCAGAGGCAGGTAGATCTCTGTGAGTTCGAGGCCAGCCTGGGCTACAAGGCTACACAGAGAAATCCTGCAAGAGTGATGGTGTGCTTTTTTCTCCCCCTTCTCCTCTTCAAGGTCTTACTCTGTAGTCAAGGTTGGCCTAAGCTTTTGCCTTTGCCCTCTATGTGCTAGAATTATAGGCATGAGCCACCGTCCCAGGTTGAGATGGCTCTCAACCTACCCTCTGCTATGTCTCTAACAAGTTCTGATGGACTTGCTCATTATCTATTTCTAGAAAACATAGACCCAGAAAGGAAGGATGATCTGTATCGGGTCACCAAGTTAGGTGTACACTACACCCTCTGAATTTTAATGACAAACAGTGTATCACATTCTGGGATCTCTGAAATCAAAACTTTTCTTTATGAGTTTTCTTCTTTCTCTCTTTCTTGAGAAAGGGTCTTGCTATATAGTCCAGGCTGGTATCAAACTTGTGGCAATTCTCATGCCCCAGCCCACTGTATGCTGACAATATTTGTGTATGCTGCCACATCTGGCTTAAAATATTTTCTTTCATCATGTACAACATGTTTTATGTATATATACATTGCGGAAACTCAGGTTCACAAATTACCTAACATAATTATTGAGATCTTGAATGTCTTTTTTTCTTTAATTTTGTTTATCTGTGTCTATACCCATGTGTCATGGCATGCTTGTAAAGATCACAGGACAACTTACAGAAGTCAGTTCTCTCTTTCCACAATGTGTGTCCTAGGTCAGGCCTGCTGGGAGTGCCTTAATCCAAAGACCATTTCACTGGCCCTGAGGGTTTTTGTTTTATTCTCCCCGCCCCCAAGACAGGGCTTCTCTGTGAAACAATTCTGGAACTCCCTCTGTAGGCCAGGGTGGCCTCAAACTCAGAGATCTGCATGCCTCTGACTCCCAAGTACTGGGATTAAAGGTGTGTGCCACCACTGCACAGCAGGATATTTTTCTGAATATAAATAAAATAAAGTAAAATAAAAAAGACACTCATGGTGCAGACTTGGCTGGCCTCAAACAGAGATTTGTCTTCCTTTGCTGGTTGCAAAGGTTGTGTTACCACACCTGGCCCTGAAACTGGTTTTTTTTTTTTTTTTTTTTTTGTTTTTCGAGACAGGGTTTCTCTGTGGCTTTGGAGGCTGTCCTGGAACTAGCTCTTGTAGACCAGGCTGGCCTCGAACTCACAGAGATCCGCCTGCCTCTGCCTCCCAAGTGCTGGGATTAAAGGCATGCGCCACCAACGCCCGGCCCCTGAAACTGTTTTTAAGGAAGATACTTCAATTAATAGTTTCCCTATATTACTTTTTCATTCCCTTAAGATATGCTTGTAGAAACCCACTGTCAGTTCTTGAGAACTTTCACCCACCATCTTACGCCTGAGAATTTTTACCTGTAATGTACAATTCTCACTCCTCTTCAGAAACTCCACAAACCGATCAACTACTCCAGGAGTGTTAATAACTTCATCTATTGGAGGACTTGGCTCTAGAGAGAGACAGGAAAGACACCAAAAGTCAGGGAAGCTTTGCTGATCCATTCACAGTCTTGGATGCTTCTGACCACTCTTTTTTTTTTTTATTAGGTTTTTTTTTTTTTTTTTCCGAGACAGGGTTTCTCTGTGGTTTTGGAGGCTGTCCTGGAACTCGCTTGGTAGTCCAGGCTGGTCTCGAACTTACAGAGATCCGCCTGCCTCTGCCTCTCGAGGGCTGGGATTAAAGGCGTGCACCACCAACGCCCGGCGCTTCTGACCACTCTTACAAACACTGCAAAAACTGTCTTTTGCTCATCTACAAACTGCATAATACCCTTGGCATGTTACAAGTATAAAGGCAATCCTAATGTACATATGCTCAGCTGTGGCTTACTAAATGTGAATAAAATAGAAAAGGAGTAGAAAAAGGCCAAGGAGTGAGCAACCCTATCCTACTACACATTTCCTTTCTAACAAAGGTCACTGCTCTTTTCTTGGGAGGAATATTTTTGCTATCATATACCTAGTTTTCAGGACTGAAAAACAATAGCATAGCTTTGCACATGTGACACAGCGAATTTTTATAGAGCATCTCTGTAAGACACAGTTCTAGAAACTAAGGATAGAGTATGAACAAAGCCAATGTCCTTGCACTCACAGAACTTAGTGTGGCAGTGAAAGGAGGGCTGTTAGAAAGCAGTAATAAGGAAAGTCTTCTTCTACTTTTATCAAGACAGGGTTTCACTGTATAAACCCAAGCTGGCCTGGAACTCACAGAGATCCACCAGCCTCTGAACCCCCAGGGCTGATATTAAAGGTATTCACTATCAATACCTGGCTGTACCAGAACTGGGAAGGTTAAGGCAGAGGTGTCTTGAGTTCAAGGTAACAAGACTATCTTTTTATATAACAAAGGAAAAAAAAAGGAGGAAAGAAAAATAAAGAGTCATCTGCAGACTCTTCTCTAATACATTTTAAGAGTCAGAAGTCAGGACAGGCTTGATTAACAAGTTGTGAACTGGCTGGGCGGTGGTGGCGCACGCCTTTAATTCCAGCACTGGGGAGGCAGAGACAGGAGGATCTTTGTGTGTTCGAGGCCAGCCTGGTCTACAGAGAGTTCCAGGACAGCCAAAGCTACACAGAGAAACCCTGGAAACAAACACAACAAAAAAAGGTATAGCTGGGGGCTGGAGACACTCACTGCTTTGCAGAGTTCTGTTCTCAGCACCTATCTGTGCATCATGTCAAGCGGCTCAGGAGAGGGTCTACCTCCAGCTCCAGAGGAACTGAATCCTCTTCTGGCCTCTGTGAGCACAGGTGCTCATGGGGAATACACGCTTAATTAAAAACTCTTAGGAAAAAAGGGTAGGTGAAAGAAGCGCTGATAGATTTTTTGAGAAGAGGAATTAGCAGAGGGAATAGCAAGTGTAAAAGTGGGAATGTACCCGACTTATTCAAAGAAAACCTGGCCAGGAGGAAGGCTACAGTAGAATGAGCAATAGGTAGTAGTTAAGTAAAAACAGACAAGAGGCTAAATTATACAGCATCTCTCTGAGAAGAACCCGGCTTTATACCTTTGGAGAGGAGTTTCCGGAATTTCTGTGTGGTTGCTAACTGTAAGTCAGAATCATCAGAAAAGAGCATCTCCACCATCTCTCTTGTGATCACACTCTCCTAGAATATAAAATAGGTTTATGACCTTGTGGATAATAATAAAGCCAGATGAAAGTGATTCTTTTTTTTTTTTTTTTTTGGTTTTATGAGACAGGGTTTCTCTGTATTGTTTCGGAGGCTATCAGTCCAGCCAGGCCTCGAACTCACAGAGATCCGCCTGCCTCTGCCTCCCGAGTGCTGGGATTAAAGGCGTGCGCCACCACCGCCCGGCGAAAGTGATTCTTAATCTGTGAAGTAACCAATGACTTCCCTGAATGTTTCCCCAGATTATTTGCATCCTTGCTGAGTGGTTAAGATGACTGACCACAAAAGGCAAGGAAGACCTTAACATGATTACAATTACGAGATGGCATGGCTACCCAACTTCTGCTCTGAGAACAGCAGTGACCATGCCTTGAAGGGCTTACCCCTGTTGTAGAGCTCACGTAGGAGTCCATCAGCAGACTGTCGAACATGGCAGCCTCTTCATTAATCAGCTCCACATTTCTCCGTTTAAAAAGCTGAAAAGGAAAGTGAGGAGACAGAGCTAGCACTACTCATACACTAAAGAATAACCTAAAGCTAGATTAGGATATAGTGGTAAAGAAATAATAACACAAAGAAAATGAGGCCAAACTGTAAGCAGATATAAAACACATTCAACAGCTTTACCTTTTTAGGTTTTGTTTTCCAACACAGGGTTTCTCTGTGAAACAGTCCTGGCTTTCCTGGAATTCACTCTTTAGACCAGGCTGGCCTCACACTCACAGAGATCCACCTGTCTCTGCCTCCCAAGTGCTGGTATCAAAGGCGTTTGCCACCACCACCCAGCAATTGTTTTAATTGCTTTACTTCTTATGTCATGTCTATTCACATTTTTGAGGGGAACATATTTTATAAATTTTTTTCAACTTCATGATCATTGGTGTTTTGCCTGCATATAAGTCTATATGCGGGTGTCAAAAGTTCTGGAGCTGGTGTTACCCAGTGCAAGTGGGTGCTGGGAATTGAACCTGGGTACTCTAGAAGAGCAGTCAGTGCTCTTAACAATGAGCCATCTCTCCAGGCCCTGGAAAAGTGTGCAAACATCATGCATGCACAATTTAAAGCTTTCTTTGCACTTTATGTATGAAAAGTTTAAGAATATTATATAGTAAGAAGGTGGCTAGAGCGGGTTCCATGACTGCATCTAGAGCTGAGCAAGATACATCTGGTCCTGCATGTGTGGGACTGCAATGGTGATATGTCAGTCTCTGTCCAAGGCACATGTAACAAAACAGTTTCAAGAGATCAGAAGGCTAGAGACATGGTATTGGGAAAAATTCCTTTACTCTGTAAAGCTGTGTCATTGTGATTGGTTTAATAAAGAGCTGAAGTCACGCTGGGCGGTGGTGGCGCACGCCTTTAATCCCAGCACTCGGGAGGCAGAGGCAGGCGGATCTCTGTGAGTTCGAGGCCGGGCTGGACCGACAGCCTCTAAAACAATACAGAGAAATCCTGTCTCGTAAAACCAAAAAAAAAAAAAAAAAAAAAAAAAAAAAACTGAAGTCAGGCAGTGGTGGTGCATTCCAGCACAATAGCTAGGCAGGAAGAGGTTAGGTAGGACTTCTGGGGACAAAGAAGATGTGAAATGCAGGTCTCCAGCCAGATGAGGAGAAAGCAGAATGAACAGTACAGAGAGAGGAGCCAAATGACAGAATGTAGTTTAAAATGATTTAATTTATAAGGGCTAGGGGGGAGATGGGTAAATTAGTTAAGTGCTGGCAAAGCAAGAGTGAGAAACTGAGTTCAGACCCAAGCACCCATAAGTCAGGTGAAGCAGTGCACACCTATAACCCAGGCCTTAGGAGGCAGGATCTCTGGAGCTCACTGGCTAATCAAGCCAATCAGTGGGTTCCAGGTTCAGTGCAGGATCTTGACTAAAAAGTTAAGATGGACAGCAGCAACTGGGAAAGACTGAAACATCAATCTCTGGCCACGATGTGCAGACAAAGACACACACAGATGCAGACACACACACTTTTACACACAATCATACTCACCTGACCAAACAAACTGAATGGTTAGCCTGCTAATTAGATAAACTACATTTCCCTAGGCCAGTGGTTCCCAATTGTGGGTCACAACCCCTTTGGGAATTGAACGATCCTTCACAGGGGTTGTCTATGACCACTGAAAGCACAGAGGGGCTGGAGAGATGGCTCAGCAGTATAGAGCGCTGGCTGCTCTTCCAAAGGACCCAGGCTCAATTCCCAGCACCCACATGGCAGCTCAACTGTTCCAGAAGATCCGACACCCTCACACAGACACAAATGCAGGCAAAAAAAAAAAAAAAAAAAAAAAAAAAACCAATACACATAAAATAAAAATAAAACAAATTAAAAAAAAAAAAACACAGACATTTATTTACCTTACCAGTAGCAACCAAAGTTTTATGGCTAGGGGGTCACTACATGAGGAACTTTTTAAAGGGTTATAAACTAGGAAGGTTGAGAATCACTGCACTAGGCAGAAAGAGTAAGGCCAACTACAGAACCTGCTAGTTTCGCTGTCAGGTATGTTTGAGAACACTCCAGTTAACTTACTTGTTGTTCCCGCTTCTGTTTCCGAAGCTGAATGCCCTCTTCCTCCCTCCTTCGTCTCATTTCCTCAGGGTTTAAGGCATTGTTCTTATAGCTCTTCATTCGGTAATTGTCTTTCCCTGGGCTTGCCATGGTCTCTAGAAGGGAAGATATTTTTAGAATTGTGAGACAGTAGCATTTCCTTTTCATACATGAACAAACTATCAATAAAGAGAAAATAGAAGAAGATGGCAAACAAATTCTGGACCTGAAAAGATGAAAAGAAGAGGCAGAAAGTGTCTCTGGTTGTTATAGAAAGTAACTTAGGGAACCTCCAGAAACTAGAAGTGCTTCAGAAATCTACTTGGCAAAGTCCATACAGATTTATTACTTTAAGAAGTGGGGGGTGGAGGAAGGGTAACACAGGGTGAAGCAGCCCCGGAGAGACAGCTCAATGGTTAACAGAATTTGTTGCTCTTGCAGAGGACCCAGGTTCAATTCCCAGAGCCCAATGGTTGCTGACAACCATCTGTAGCTCCAGGTCCTGGGGATTCAGTGTCATCTTCTGTATGTACCAGGCATACATACAGACAAAATACTCTTGCACATAAGGTAAAACTAATTCATCATAAAAAAAACAAACAAACAAACAAAAAAACCCTAAAGCTAACAAGACAATTAGGGGAGACAATTCAGTGGTTAAGAGTATGTGCTGCTCTTGTGGTAGATCCAGGTCAGTTCCCAGCACCCATATAGTGGCTCCTAACTATCTGACACCTCTTCTGACCTCTCCAGGCCCCTGCACACATATGGGGCATCAGGTATAAAGACATTAAAGATAAAAGTAAAAAAATAAACACGCAACAAGCCATCAAGATGACTCAGGAGGTAATGCTTCTTTCTTGCCACCAAACCTGATGACCTAAGTTCCATCATCAGGATCCATACACTTGAAGGAGGGAACCAACGGTTGTCCACTGACATCCACATACACACTATGCCATGTGTACTCCCACCCCACCCCCAACACATGAACGTTACAAGGACCTGCAGTGGCTTCTCCTATTGGTCCCTGAACAGGCAGAGGCAAGACTACTAAAGGCAAGCCCCTGTGGAATGCTGTCCTCTATTACCTGATACATAGTGTTTCATGACTCAGCCTGTGCTGTCCCAGAGGCTGTCCTCTCCTTTGAGCACAGTTGACAGTTAAACTGAAATAGGAACCACATTGCTTCTTTAGTTACCATGGTGATGAGTAACTATCACAAATATCTACTTATGACTTCACTGGAGAAGCAGGCAAGAAATAGAAGGATGAACATCCACAGAAACACATGAGATAACTCCTGTTACAAAGATGTTTTTACCTCAGAGAGGATTCTTTTATTTGTCCCCTCTTATTGATTGGTTCCACCTTACCAATCATACCTGATTTTTAGAAACCCATGTTCACATCACAAAAATTTCTTTTACAGTAATTTCTCTCTCTAGACTAAAAGGCCAAGCATCAACAAATCTAAAGTTAATGTGAGCCAACGCCTATAATCAAATTTTAAAAATCCATGAAGTGTAAAATTAGCCATAATACTAGGACTTGAAGCCAGGTGGTGATGATGCATGCCTCTTTATTCCTAGCACTTGGGAGAGACAGGCGAATCTCAGTGAGTTCAAGGCCAGCTTGGTCTACAAAGTCAGTTCCAGGGCAGCCAGGACTACAGAAAAACCCTGTCTCGGAAAACAAACAAACAAACAAAAAAACCAAAGGATTTGAAGGGTAGGATGATACCAGAATAGCTTAAATTGTGTCTTTTGCCAGGCAATGGTAACACACACCTTTAATCCCAGTGCTCTGGTGGCAGAGGCAGGTGGATCTCTGTGAGTTCCGAGGCCAACTTGGTCTACAAAATGAATTCCAGGACAGTCAGGGCTGTTACATGGAGAAACTCTGTCTTGAAAAACCAAAGATTTGTGTCTTCTGGCTGGTGAGTGGTGCATGCTTTTAATCCCAGCAGCCAGAAAGCAGAAAGAGGATGTCTGTGATGTTCCAGGCAAGCCAGGGATATACAGTTAGATGATGTCTCAAAAACAAACAAAAGAGCCGGGTGTTGGTGGCACATGCCTTTAATCCCAGCACTCGGGAGGCAGACGGACATCTGTAAATTCCAGGACAGCCTGGTCCACCAAGTGAGTTCCAGGACAGGCTCCAAAACAATACAGAGAAACCCTGTCTTGAAAAACCAAAAAACCAACCAAACAAACAAACAAAAACCTAATTTGTGGGTGTAGAAGTACAACCTATAATCTCAACACATAGGTGTTAAAGCAGGAGAATGTAAACTCAAATCTACTTTGCTCTACATAGCTCCAAACCAGCCAGGGCCATATAGCATGACCTTAGAGGAGAAGACGGTGGGGGAGAAGAAGAGAGGGCTGCTAGAATTCAGTATTTCAAATAACTTAATAATGCATTAAAGACTTAGGAAAACAACACTACATTTCAAATTAATGGATGTGTAGGAATAGAGATTACAGTAAAGATCAAAGAAATAAAAAGTTGGCTTTTAAAATAGATAAGTCAAGCTGGGCAGTAGTGGCGCAAGCCTTTAACCCCAGGGCTAGAAGACAGAGGCAGGTGGATCTCTGTGATTCTGAGGCCAGCCTGGTCTACAAAGTGAGTTTCAGGACAGCCAGGGCTCTTACACAGAGAAACCCTGTCTCAAAAAACCAAAAACATACAAATAAATAAAATGAAAAAGACAAAAGATTTGCTAGACTAATAAAGAAAAAATAATACAGTGATGAAAAAAATAAGCCAGATGTTGTGGCGCATGCCTTTAATCCCAGCACTCGAGGGAGAGAACTTCTGAGTGAGTCCCAGGACAGCTTCTAAAGCTACAGAGAAACCCAGTCTTTAAAAACAAAACAAAAACAAAGACAAAAAAGGAAGAAAATCCTTCCAAACTCATTCTATAAAGTTATTCTGACACCAAAACCATAACAAAATGAAACCTACAGACCAAGCCAGGCTTGGTGGCTCACTTCTATAATCCTAGCAATGAGAAAGGGAAGCAGGGGGCTAGAAAGATGGCTCAGAGGTTAAAAGCACTGATTGTTCTTCAGTCAGTTCTGAGTTCAATTCCCAGTAACCACATGGTGGCTCACAACCATCTCTAATTCAATTTGGTGCGCTCTTCTGGCATGTAGGTAGAACATTGTATATGTAATAAATAAATAAATCATAAAAAAAGCACGAGAATCAATAATTCAACGCCATGCTCTGGTACATAGTGATTGAAGGTCATCTTATTCTAAAGGATAACAAACAAAAACTAACTCAAACACCAATTTGTATAATGAACATAGATGTAAAAATTCTCATGAAGCTGGGTGGTGGCGGCGGCGCATGCCTTTAATCCCACCAGCACTCCGGAGGCAGAGGCAGGCGAATCTGTAAGTTTGAGACCAACCTGGTCTACAAGAGCTAGTTCCAGGACAGCCTCCAAAGCCACAGAGAAATCCTGTCTCGAAAAACGAAAAAATAAAAAACTGTTTTGTTAGCCGGGCGTTGGTGGCGCACGCCTTTAATCCCAGCACTCGGGAGGCAGAGGCAGGTGGATCTCTGTGAGTTCGAGGCCAGCCTGGTCTACAGAGCGAGTTCCAGGACAGCCTCCAAAGCCACAGAGAAACCTTGTCTCGAAAAACCAAAAAAAAAAAAAAAAAAAATCTTTCAGTGTAAATTTAGTAGTGACACTTTAGAGTAATCCCTACAGAAGAGAAACTTTAGAAATGTAATGACAAATATATCCTTTCTTCAGCATTCATACTCACTAGACACCATATAACCCATATCAGATAAAGTAGAGAAATACACACATGGCAGGGTCTTCTGGCAAAACTTACACTTCATACATCAGAGTTCATTCCTGAAAGAAGAAACTTGTTCTTTTTTCTTTTGTTCTCTTAAGTATGGCAAACCTTTCATTCAGGGTCAAGTACCCACCAACATAGGACAGTGCATAGAAACCAGCTGTGTAACTGTTTTAAGTAGAATGATGTGGCAGACATTTTTTCCAGGTCTCATAAGCCTGATGACCTAAGAGTTTGATCCCCTGAACCCATATAAGGGCAGAAGAGAGCTGACTCCACAGAGCTGTTCTCTGACTTCAACCCACAGACACAATCATAATTAATTAGAACAACAGAAAAAGGTTGGGGATATTTGAACAGCTAATGTGAGGTTCCCAGTCCCTGGGTACCACTCCAGCAAACATCAACAGCAAAAAGAGAAGCACTGATGTAAATGTTGAGGAATCTGTGTTGACATTTTCTTATCTTTTCAGACCAGAAAATTGAATAACATCCTTGGCAACTTCAATTCAGTTATGTCCATCCCCACAGGAAATCACTAGGAGTGGCTGGCTTTAATTCCTAGTGACGTCTAGATTCCTGTCTCTTTCCCTAGTCCTGTGCCTCTAGTGATGTCTAGATTCCTGTCTCTTTCTCCAGTCCTGTGCCTCTAGTGATGTCTAGATTCCTGTCTCTTTCTCCAGTCGTGTGCCACTCCTCTAATGCAGGTATTCTTCAACTTGCTTATCTCTCCCAACACCCAAATTTCTTTTCTTTTTTTGAGGGGACGACAATGACGACAACAACAGGATCTTGATAATGTAACCCTGGCTGGCCTGGAACTCACTATGTATAGCAGCCTGGCTTAGACTCAGACTTTAGTGCTGGGATCAGCTTGCATTACCACATCCAAGATTTCCCCTCACACCTTAAAGATCTATCTAATCTATCTATCTATCTATCTATCTATCTATCTATCTATCTATCTATCTATCTATCTATCTATCTATCCATCTAACCATCCATCCATCCATCCATCCATCCATCCATCCATCCATCCATCCATCTATTTTTATTGGTTTGGCTTTTTTGGTTGTTGCTTTTTGAGGCAGAGTTACTCTGTGTGTAGCTCTGGCCATCCTAGAACTCACTCTGTAGACCAGGTTGGCCTGGAACTCAAGAGATCTGGAACTCTGACTCTTGAATGCCAGAGTGCTGGGATTAAAGGTGTGCACCACCACTGCTCAGCAAGATTTATTGATTTTATTTCTGTGGGCATTTGCTTGCATGTGTGCATGTGCACATGCATGCC